TGTACCGAACAATCCAATGTACCCTTGGAACCAATGTACCCTAAGAACTCGATGTACCCTTTTTCGATGTACCCTTGGATACTGGGCCCCCCTAGACGGAAAACACTTTCTTCTCTCCAATCCTTCAAAAAAAAAGTTGCAAGAAAAAGAAGCAGAAGAAGACGAAGACGAAAAAAAAAAAGAAAACTGGAATCATTGCTTTCCTGCGCTCTCTATCTCTTCCTGAATGACTGACGCCGGACCGTATAATAGACGTAAATGTGCATGTTTGCACACTGGCGCAATATATCCTCTTAATGTGGTGCACCGGTAAAAAAGACATGAAGAAATAGGATGAAAACTGAAGAGAATGGATGAGTGGGAATTAAAGTTTCTTTGTTTGCAAGGGGGAAAACGTGAGACTTTCGGCACCTTTTCTCAGCTCTTTTTCGTTCCGCGCGGAGGAAAGCAGCAAAAGAGAATGAGCACGCGGGAATACTTTGTGTGTATTGATAAGGGAGCAAAGATTGACTCGAGTCTTACAGTTATCTATGGAGCTGCAAAACCAGTACTGTCAAACTAGAGATAAAAAGTTCGCGCTAATGTCGGGAGATTGTCAAATTTGATGTTAGAAATTGAATGAGCTGAAATTCGATACCGTAAAACCTGTAATCGAAGGCCTCCATACTATCAAAACACTTCACTCAATTATCTCGGCCTGTAAAAAGAATATCAAAAACAAGTCAACTGATAGAATGTTTGTGATGTTGTGATTTTAAAAAAAATGTATCAGTTGACTACTTTTTTACATATTTGGCACGAACCGATTTCAACTGACTCCATTTTAAAGGTAATATGCCTTCTATTACAAGTCTTACGGTAGTTATTATAGAATTAGTTGGAAAATAGGTAGCAAGTTGTTTAGGTTGTGGGACCATAATCAGGATACTGTACGATATTGCACCAAACTGCAAACTGAAAGCGCACACTTTTTTAACTTTTGTTGCTCCTGAATTGATATAATGCATATGTGTGATGATTTGAGAATTTTCGTTAGTTTCTGTTTACCTGAAAAGAAGAGCCCCTTGACTGAGCTCAATTATCTCGGTTTTTATAATTGTAAGAGATATGAAAAATGTGTCAACCAATAAAGTATTTATGATGAACAATTTCTCAGTTGGCAACATTTTTTATATCTATTACAGGAACCGAGATAATGGAGCTCAAACTTGACGGTTAGGTAGACATCTTTTAGAGGGAGTAATGAATGTATACATGATTAACATCGATGTCTAGATTAACTTGAAGCAATATTTAAAAAATCAGAACTAACGGAAAAAAACACGATTCAACTACCTGGATGCAATTTTAAATCAGCAGGTTATGAAGAAGTACTCAGATATGTTTCTAATACTGAATCATCACCTATGGAAGTTAAGTATCAGAAATCTCGGTCTACACAAAACACATCCAAATACATATGTGTCTCAAACCCCATACCAAAATATTGCAAAAAAAAGCTTCCCTCAACTATGTGTGTACCCCCTTGAATCTCAAAAGATGGCAACATTCCTTATGGTCGAAAGTCAAGACCCTTTTTTTCTCCACTGCGTCCATCTCAATTCTCTCATTCAACTGAACAGTCTCACCGGTCCAAAAGAGCCACACAGAGAGCTCCGCATTTCTTCCTGCGCACTCACTTTTTTCCGCATTGCAATGTGTTTACAATTGGGCGCCGCGCGTCGCACCTCGTTTTTTTTTCCGTGCCGGCAACTTTTTGCCATTCGGCCGATTCACACAGCCGCCCGCCGCCCGCCTCCCGTCCCGTGGCCGTATTTAAGTCTCGCACTGGGTGCCATTTAACCACTTCCATTGAAGACACTTAGAAGCCAATTCCAATGTTCAGACTTACCATCTGCGCCACACTCATCGCCCTTTCCGCCGCTCAGGTGCCAGGTACAGTTTTCCTTGTCTTTTCCTTTTTTTTTTAATTTACATTTTCTGAATAATTTTGAATAGTTCACTTCTTGATTATATTCTCTCTTTATCTTATTCATATTCCAGTGGCTCCTCTGTACTCTGCGTGCAGTGCCGCTGTTCCATGTGCCGCTCCGGCTGTCTGCCAGGCTTCCGTCTGCGTTCCAACTGTCGCTGCTGCTCCTCCAGTAAGTTTTTTTTTACTTAATTTTTTTATTTCCAAACTTATGTTCATTTCGATCTGAAAACATCTGAGGACATTTATCTGATATTCCGATCTTTGTATGCGTAGTTAAAATTCTGTCAATTTGATTCGATTCAAAAATAAAACCTTAATTAATCCAGGTCTTTGCTGCTCCAGCTCCACTCCCAGCCTTCGCTCCAGCTCCAATCGCCGCTCCACTTCCAGCTTACGCTCCAGCTCCAGTCGTCGCTGCTCCAGCCCCAGCTCCAGTCTTCGCCGCTCCATTCGCTGCCCCACCAGCCTCAGTGATCGCTGCTCAACCAGCTCTCGGATGCGCTGCCCCATGCGTCGGAGCCGCCCAATGCGTCGCCGGAGCCTGTGCCTGTGCTAACCCAGCTGTCGCCTACTCCCCAGTCATCGGATGTCAGCCAGCTATCCCAATCGCTCCAGCTGTCCCAGTTGCTCCAGCTCCAGTTGTCGCCGGACGTCTCATCCCACAAGCTCTCCCAGGATCCCCATGTGAGCCAGGAGTTGAATGCACCGGAGGATCTGTCTGCTCCGTCGGAGTCTGCCTCTGCCCACCAGAGCTTATCCAAGAAGGAACTGTCTGCGTTGCTCGCACCATCTACGGAGTCGTCCCACCACCAGTCATCCCAGTTGCTCCAGTTGTCCCAGTTGCCCTCGGCGCCCCATGTGCTGCCCCAGTCGCCGTTGCTGCCGCCCCAGCCTGTGTTCCAGGAGCCGTTTGCTCTGCTGGAATCTGCCAATGCGCCGGAGCCTACGAGCCACTCCAAGGAGCTTGCGTCCGCAGACGTCTCTAAGAAGTGTATCCAGTAATTAATCCCAAAAACGGGCTTTCCGAAAATCACAAAAGATACTAAAGTATAGTATCCTGGATACCCTTTAACTATTATTTTCCAACTCTCTTTCCATCTGTCCGACAGTATTTGTTCTTATTTTCATTTTCATTTCTTCTTCTTGTCTGTACATCTTGACCTGAACTTGATTTAATCATATTTATCAAAATCATCTTTTTTTTTCTTGAATAAATTGGTTTTTGTTCAATATCAATATTATTATTATTAAAAGAACTAAAGATCCATAGAAGAATGAAGTTTGACCAGTGTATGAAGATGGAAAGCATCCGGTTGAGCCGACCGCCTCATGCTCACTCTTCCCCGAACAGCATCCATTTTTGTAGATCGAACTCGTCGGACACCTGACCATGTGGCTTGCGGATTAGCTCCATTTAGCATTCGACAAGTCAATTCGTAGACGAATAACTGTAAAATTTGAGAATTAAAAAATTTTGATCTACTTTTTAAATTTCAATTACCCTCCAACAATCTCCACGCGTTCCGTTTATTACTGCATAGTGGTTGTATGCTTCCTGGTACAATGTACTGAATGTCGACTGCCCTTTAAAACTTTGAGTCCAGTATGGTTTCGTAGAAAATAGATTTGATCTCCATGCATCTAACAAAGAATTCAAAATCCACTCATAAGCCATTCGCCTCGTTCCTTCTTGAATTCCAGAAACCACTCCAGAAGTTCTAGATGACGTGGAAAACAGGCGAAGGGATTCGAGAGCCTTCTTGGTGTGAATGCAAACGTATTGGCTGACTTTTGGAGAATCTCTATCGTCAATGCAGATTTTTCTGGCGCACAGAGCATGACCAACAGCTAATCCCAAATTACTGAAATATGATTTTGCTTATGAATTCCCGAACCTTAAAACTTACTCTGTAAGAATTTTGGGTGGACAATTTCTGATCAGAGAATAGTGTTGTCTTGCCAACTCGTTTTTGTTGGTCCTCCAATAGATTCCACAGGTTAGGACATGCGTCCACCATGTACAACAAGCGTCTCCGCTTCTGCTCAACCAGGTTCCAAATTCTGAAGTTCAAAAATTCGAAGATGCTAAAATACTTTCAAGATAAAACAAAACTCACTAGCTGATTCATCTTTCTCATTTGTTAACATTGCTGCACATTGAGTTGAGATCGAAACTAGCAGCCTTGATACATCAACAACATCAACTTCATCATCCAAACGATCATTGTCATTCAGAATTCTTTCGACATTCTTAGTGAAAATTTCCTCCCCGCCGGCGAGTTCTTGAATCAGTTTTGAGAGGAGGTATACTTTAAGCGTTGTTCGAATTCTAGCAATTGGAGATACTGAAATTCAAATCGTTCTCAGGGCTGTCGATCATTCCCTGAAACTCACATTGCTCATCTTCCACAAATGATCCGAACCTCAGCAATTTTTGTTTGGAACTTAAGACATGTTGCAATCTTACTGGATCAGCCATATATTTCCGTGTTGCTGGATGGAAGATCCATAGAAGATGAGATACGGAATGTTCTGGAGCACGACGTACATGCCGGCGAGCTCTTCGGAGAAAGTATCCGGAGAAGAATGGTGCGAGAAGTTTCGGGAGAGCGAGACGACAACGGATAGATGCTGCGATATAGATCTGAGCCATAATAGCACGTGGAAGACCGTCATTTGATGCTCCAGCAGCTTCAGCTCGGTTGACGGCGCAGAGAGCAAGGTAGAGACCAGGAAGAGTTTTTGGATCATCTCCGTCATGAACATGACCGGTGATTCCCATTAAGTGGAGCTGAGATTTTGAAAATTATAAACTACGAAATTATAAACTAATGTCTTACCTGATGAATTTCATGATACAATACAGCTAGATGTGCATGACTTCTACAAACCGCAGACACTGGTTTATTGGAATTCCTCCTCCTTCTTGCCATAAATCTTCCGATCCATAGCCAACTCATAAGATGACGTATACATTCCCATGCGACCCAGGCAAACGATTCAACCCCAGGATGAGGTATTCCACAACTAAGTACAACTAGACATTCTCGGAATTGTCTTTGAGATTCTTTCAAATTTCCAGATCTCAATTCTTCTCTCGCTTTTTCTCGAATCGACGCGAATGTTTGCCAGGATGGAGACATAAAATCCATTATTGGATCCGTACTGATCATCATTTGGATGATAACAAAAGATATCATTATCATATTTATGCACCATAAATAGGGACTATCCAGTGACCATATGGATTTCACACTGGAATTTCCATCTGGGTCATCTAGAACTCTTCCATGCTCAAATGGAGAAGCAATTGGAGCTTTAGTGTCAGCAGATGCATGAGAAAACATTCCACTTCCAGCGAGTAATCTGAAAAAAATGTCATTCATCAAGAATATAAGAATATATCTTTTTACCCAATCGGATTGAATATCATCACTGCCAAAAGCATTGCAAACAGAGTGACTCTTGAATTGTCCTTAGTACCATTTTTAATAGGAGTTACTGTATTCATTCGAGATCTTTTTCTTTCATTTCTCGGTGGAGATGGAGATGATTCGTTTGGAGATTGAGCAGCATAGTCAACGAATTGCACTGGTTCCGGGTACTAAAATATCGAAAATCAGAACAGCGTTTCATGCTCTGATTCGATTAGATAGACCCACCGGTAACCCGTTCATCTGAAGTGTCTTTCGCATTTGTTCAACTTGATATCTCAATTGTTGATTCTCTTGTTCAATGTCATCAATGTGTTCGATAGCTTTTCGAAGTGTCGCAGATTTCGATAGCTTTGCATCTTCTCCGCACAACAAAACTTTTAATTGTTGAATTCTATCATTGATTGAGCACCTATACTTCTTTTCGATTAGATTGTGAGCAGTTCGCCTTTCGGTTTTGGGTCCTGGAAAATAAAAAATAAGAAGGTTGTATTTTTTAAATTTCAAAGAAATCTCACTCCGAATGATAACTGGTCCTTGAGAAGATGTTTCACCAGAATCACTATCGTCGTCTTCTTCGTCATCTTCTCCATCTACTGTCTCTTGTATCACTACTTTCTTCGGATAACTTTTTGATGCTGAGCTTCCCGTCTTTTTATGTTTCAATTTCTCTACTTCACTCGGGGACATATTGACTAACATCCTTAATAATTCTTCTTTCATATTCTTGGGACTAGTTGGGTTTTCTGGCGGATCTGAGAACTTCATTGGTTTTTGTTCTTTGATTTTTTCTTCAATGGGCGGAGACTCTATGGCTTCTGGATGTTCATGAATAGTTGGTTGACTTGAAACGTGGCGTAAATGATGATGATGATGATGTTGAGGAATTGGTTGAGGAGTATGAGATTGATGTGGAGTGTGATAAGTGTGATAAGGTCCTGATTGAGCTGATTGATTGTACGGCGACATGTACCCGTTGATATGTTCTATAGCTTCGACATAAGGAGATGGAGTCATTGAAGTGTGTTGAGGTGGAGAGAGCATTTCGTGTTGGAAATTCTGAATTTTCGAAAATTGGAAAATCTAATTTTTTGGTATACATGTTTTTAATAAACTTAATGAACCCTTTGCAGCTTTTCTAAAGGAGGACGTCGACCCAAAATTTTTTCTCTTCATTCTACTTGAATCTACACTGATCCTACACATTTAACTGCAATAAAAGTATTTGGCCAGAGTTCCCTCTCAAAATCTTTTCTCTCGAGTTTCGACATTTATGACTACTTTTCTCGCTTTTTTCAGGCGATAAGAACACCCATAGTGCAACATATTCTCTCGTAAAATTTACACTTTTTTCCGTTTTCTAACCTTCTGATCAATTCCATTTGTATTCACATAAAGAGACGATCCACCAGGTGTCATTGCAGGTGCTGCGAGTTGTTGAGCTAGTGAAAGAGGTCGATAAGCATCGGCTGGATATGTTCCAGTTAATGGAGATAAAGGAGATGTTCGTAAAGGATTCAGCATACTTGCAGGACCCTCTCCAGATAATTGTTGAGTTGATGCTAGAGATGGACCTCGCCCTCCACCAAGATCGAAGACAGGAGGAGAGAATCGCATTCCGAAAAAGTCTTCGTGATTGTTTTTTAGAAGAGACTGTATTCGGCTCACGTCGTGTTGGCTGCAAAATTAGTATATCATTTTCAGTATCCTCATTCAGGATTCTACTGTTTCAAAAAGTCCAAACAATAATGTCAATTTTAAAAAAAACTAAAATTAATTATTTTAATTAGGCCCTTTTCATGAAAGACGATGAAACAACTACCGAACAATACCGTTCAAAATGCTGTCTACTCTATGGTATTATTCGAGTGCCGGTATGGAGCCAAAATTTTTACCAGATAAAGGCGTTGTTCGAAAGTTAGGTTTTTTTTTAAATTAAGGTCAGCATTTAAATTTTTTGAAATTTCAATTTTGAAATTTTGTTTTGTAGTTTTAATGAATTTTTGCCAAAATCCGTCAAACATTTCCAGATTCCAGATCTGGCAAAAATTATTGCCGGCACTTGAAAAATAGTTATGCTCAAAAACCCACAGAGAACCGGAGAGGGACAATCTTATGAACTGTCCCAACCCATCAACTTTGAGTTCAACTCTTTCGATCCCTTTAAGAGATATCAAACATTTGTCAACTGATAAAATATTGGTGATATTATGATGAATAATTTATCAATTGACGAAATTTTGATAATTTTCACAGGAATCGAGATAATTGAGCTCAAGTTAGAAGGTTTGGGTGATAATAACAGAAATACGGTATGAAGCTTTATGGTTTCAGAATGACTATAAGAAATTTATCAAAAATTATTTAAAGTGTCAGAATTTATGTTATTTCTCAAAAAATTTGTCATAAGAAAAAAACGCAGGACTCTAAAAATATATGTTTTTTTTCAAAAACTCACCCATCAATTTCATAATATTCCTGCGGAGGACTGTGTTGATTCCCTTGTAAACTTGGGTCGTGTTGTTGTGATGGTCCCGGTTCCTGCCAGTTTTGTTCCATATCAAAATCCAAAGAATCATTATTTTGAAAAGCTGAAAATTCCAAGTTTTCCAAATCCAAAGCATATCAAACCAACGTGCAATATCATCCAATTTAGTGACCAATGACAGAAATGGATCTGACATCGGCACATCGCCATCAAACTCTTCGTTCATTCTGAAACACAGAATTTTGAGTTTGGAGGAGGAAAAAACGCAACAAAAAAACGGCATAAGTTATCAAAATTGAGAATTGAGGGTGAGAGAGACAAAAAAGATAAAATGAAACAAATTGATAAGAGACCCTAGAAACACCTATATGACTGGTTGGGAGGGGTGAGAAACGGAAAAGAAAAAAAAACGAAAAATGCTGATGGAAGACAAATTTTTAAATGTTTTATGATCAATTGTTTTGAGATGGGGGAAATACGGTTTTAAGAATGCGTTCTTGATATAGAAAAAAGATGAAACAATTGAATAGAGATCAGTTTATAGAATAGCCAGGTAGTGTTGATAGATGTGATGGAAGTTACAAGGTTAATGCGCTTTTTTTCTATTCAGGTCAAATATGTATATCTTTAATGAAAAAATTCCAAAGAAAAAACTACTAAATTGCTTCATTAATTTTTATGTAGAAAACAATTTTTCAGAATTTTATCAAACTCAAAGAACACAATCGAAACATCAAAAGAAAATAGAAATAGCGTTTACTACGGCTCCAGAGTTCTGTCCAAACTTATGATGAATTAATAATTACAAATTGACTTTTTCAATTTTCAGCAGCCAAAATCACAAAAAAGTCAATCAGAAGTTAGGAACATGAGCTGATTGAATTGACAGCTTAGTGAACGGAAACCGTATAAAACAGTGTATTGGTCAATAAAAAATTTGTACGAAAAACTGTAAAACTGCAAAACGATATCAGGAGTTGTCTTCTTTGAGTTGGGTTACCGAAAAACCTGTATTAGAAGACCCTCTGTAGAAGCCTTCCAGAAGTTTGTTGAAACACTTTTTTTGCTCAAAACTTGCTCAATTTTGGGGAATTGAGAGATTTTCATGAATTTTGAACGAGATTTCACCAAATTTTTCAATTAAAATTTTTGGAAAAAATGGCCGGAAAATTTAATTGTTTCTAGTGTCCCCTCTAATTGAAGGGCCCCTCTGATTGAAGGGACTGTAATAGAAGGGCCCTTCGGAGGTACCTTGGAGCCTTCTGATTTAGATGAATAGGGAAAAATGAAGCTAAGAAAATTTAAAATTGGTCAACTACGACTTTATGTGTAGGCTCCATTCAGTAATTATAATCAGGGAATCTGTTGAAAAGTTCTCTACCCTACAATATTTGAAGTATTGAAGATACATTCTGTACATTAGGGAAAACCAAAGTTAGCCAATTTCCTTTTTTTTTGACTGGTCATCAAGGATTTATGACCTAGAAACCCTCTCAAAGACATATCAAAAACTCTTTCGAGTGTCTAATGACCGATTTTGGGCCATCCACAAATTATTTTGGAAGTTGGTGGTCTAGAAAATCAAAGCATTGCCTGTTGGGCGTAAAAAATCCTAAAAACCGAAAACCAATCCTAGACCATCCATATGTTTTGAGCCTAGTGGCCTAGAAAACCAAAACCCAGTCATTAAACTTTTTAAGACGGTACTTCCGTATAGCTATAAATATCACTGATCAGGTTTGGAGAAGTTACTCCTAATTTTGAAAAAGTTCACATGTAATTCTCATGAAACAATAAATGCACCAAGAATCATGACACAAACAGCATTCAGGTTGTGATTAACTAAATGGTCAACAACGAATCATTCTAACTTCTTTATCGTTTTCTTTCGATAGAGCAGAGAATATTGTGCAAAACGGAACGGGAAGAGAGAAACGTTTCAAGGAAATCTTTAACTTTTTTGCAAAATAAATTTTGTCGACAAGTTTTCGATATTCGAGAAACAAACATAAAAGAAACAGAAGAAAAGATCGATGTGTTTTCCCATATGTTAGATCAACTTGAGATAATTTCCGATGTCCATTAATTTTTCAATGATGTTTCTTTTTTCGTATAGTCGCTTGTAAAATAACTAAACGATTGAGAAAAAAGTTGCATCCAACATCCGACATTTTCTTATCACTAGAAACCTTGCTTTTCGTTTTCCAGAAAAGTTGAGACAAGGAAAAAATTGATAATGAATAGTCAAAAACCGAAAAATCAGTTGCATCAGCTAAAAAAGTTGAAGTGTTCTAGACGGGGGATGGCGCTGAAAACGTTCTAGAAATTCAGAAAAATGATTGAGAAGTTTGATCAAGGAGTTTGTATAAATCAGACTGTATTTTAAAACCGACTGGAAAAAATTATATATTTGTTTAATTTTAAATCGATAAAAACGCAATTCTGGTTTCCGGAAAAAAACATAAATCGAGAATTTTGAGGTTTATCGAAATGAAAAATAGTTCAAATTCAAAAAAGAAGAAAAAATGATTCTAATTATCTTTCGAGGAATAAAGACTTTGAACTTCCGTAAAACCTGTAACAGAAGAGCCCTCCTTACTATTAACTTTGAGCCAATTTATATCTGATAGTATCAAGAATATCAAATGTTATTAACTGATAAAATACGTCTGATATTATAATAAACATTTTGTCTGTTAAACACTTTTTGATATCTTTTACAGGAGACAAGATATATGTGCTCAAACTTGGCCTTATGAAGGCCATTCTATTGAAGGTCTTACGATAGGTTGAAAATTCTATTTAAATATGTTTTTTCTAAAGTAAAGAGATTGCAAAATAAAAATTTTTATACGGTTTTCCAAAAGTTCTCAAATTCAGAATATTCGGAATTTACACCTTGCCTAACGCCAATAGTTTCTGATTTTTGTGAAAGTTGGCTCCATTCCAAGTGCAAAACTCATGTCAATAAAGCAAATGGAGCCAATATGAATGACGTTGAAAAAAGAAGTCTACTAGCTTTTTAAAAAAGTTTCAAAATTTTGAAACAAAGTCAAAACACAAAACGCTAGAAAAATCCATGAAGAAAAACGATGATGATCAGCTGTCTCAATGTGTCTGATTTCTGTTTTCTTCTCCGTATATTATCCCCCTGTTTGTAGACTACAAGATCAATGAGTCACAAGACACTGGTCAACCATAAATATTTACTGAAATAAAAAAGAAAGCAACAGGACTCATGGGGAAAGAGAAAACGTCATTTTTTTTGTTCAGTCAATCGATTTATACAAGTGTAGACATGATTAAAAAGTGCAAATTGCAGAAAGAAAAATAATGAAAAATTTAAAAGAGAAAGAGATGAAAAATCAGAAAAAAGTTTGAGAAAAAGATGAGAGAAAAACTACCCTATCTCTTCTTGTAGACACACCGTTTCACTGTCTGCGTCTCTTCGGATCATATACTCTCTCGGCCATTTTGTCATTGGCAACTCATAGAAAAGAGATAAGTGAGTTATTTCGGTGCGTACAGAGAAGAAGAAGGAAAATGAGAATTTGAAGAATAAGGTGAAGAAGTCGTGGGAAAAGAACAAAGTTGTAGAAGACAACGAAGAAATAATAGAAAAATGGAGGTGATCTAAATCTAAAGTAAGATGATGAAAATATTGACACAATAGAAGGAAAATAGAAAAAAAACGACATAGATGTTTCAATATTTTAAGATAATATCACGTGGGTGGTTCCGGTCAATTAGGTGACAAAAAGAGCCTGACGAGATAAGATAAGAAGAGCATCAGATCAGACCACGTGGCGTTTGGTTTCGTAATTTGTCTGGAGACGTTGAATTCTGAGACGAAAATTCAAAACGAAAGTGACGAAAATTCAAAACGAAATTATTAAAATTGTTCATTTCAGAATCAGATCAGAAAATTGGAAAAAAAGATTCCCAATTCAAAAGATTTTTCGATAATTTTCGACTCATTCATTTTTTGGTTTTACTAAAAACACATAAATTTGACTTAAAATCTACCAAAATCTTCTTCCTGCGACAATTTCGATTCGAGTTATAGCGATTCTAAGTTTTCGAGAGACGCGGAGAAACGAGGGTGCCTGACTTTCTGTATCTCTTCATGTGAAGTTCCAAAAATGAACATAACTCGGCTCAAATTCCTCGCAGAAACTTGATTCTTAAACGAAAAAGTCTGAAACTTTTCGGAGAAATTGAAGATGTATGCTTCAAAATCTTTTTGAACAACTTCCCGAAATTTCAAGAACCAACTCAAAAACAAACCTTTCCCTACTTGATCTATAGACAATATTTCGCACATTCCTCCTATTTTTTTTAAATTTGTAATATTTACAGTTTGAACAGACGAAACTATTTTCTCTTTGTGTTGTTTACCTTTGGCATAGGCTTTGGAGCTAATTTTTACTGTCTACACATTGTCTTTACTTGTTGTAACTTACTGGAGAAAAAGAATTTGGTTCGTTTCAATGCTTTTCTTTTTTATCAATGTGCGATCCTGTTCAATTCTATTCCTTCGAGCGTATACCGTAGGTTAATACGATAAGAACAGATACTACACTTTGATCTTAGCTAATAAGCCGAAGAAGCGATGAGGGGGCGGCGAGGCGACTGGTGTAGGGGTAACGCGTGTACCGACAAAAACCGGGCTCGCGTCGGGCACTATACCCATGTGGTTAAGAGAGACGGCGACAGTTAGGGCGCGCGGTTGAACGCTTTTGGGGAGAAAAGAAGGAAAAATACCACCTTTTGGGTTCAGAAGAACTCTTTTATATTATTCTGGCACAAAGAAAATAGGAGCTGTGAAAGAGAAACGCCGATAGGCGAAGGACCCACGGAAACTACCGTAATCTAAAAATATTATATTTAATTTTCCGTATTAATTTTCACATTTTCTTCTGCTTTTTGTCGATTTAACTGTTACTTTCCCCCAAAAAAGTCGGAAAAAATTGTTTGGCTGGAAACGCACCAAAAACGACAAAAACGAATCCAGAATAATAGTCTTCACGAAATAACAGTATAATCTGCAGCCTCTTGGCATTATGCGAAACTCAGAATCTTCAAAAATCTGCAAGCTTGACATTTCACAAAATTCAGGGTTTCTGCCAAGAATTTTTGATCCTAGAAAACCTAGTTGGATTTTTTCAGGGATTGGAATTTTAGGTCCACTTCATCAGGCTCACTGTTTGGGAAATTCTAATAATTTGCTCTCTCAATTAACTTTTCAAATTTAATGGGATTGGTTCCGATAAGCACCTCGATATTTTTTGGAAAAAAAATTTAATTTCTGTTTTACTTTTTGGCATTTTCCCCCGAAAATCACCTGGTTATGATCCGCTCGAGCTCATCATTCCCCCAATTTCTCTTGATACCCTCTGCTCTTCCCTTCTTCCATTACTCATTGTGCAACTTGATACTCTCTGTCTGTTACTATCTAACACCAGGCCACCAATCCATGTTTCTTGTCCCTCTTCTCACTTTCTTTGGCCTGATTTGACCTCTTTCCAAAAGAACATAACTGTTGTTGCATCACCTCCTCAAATGTAAACACAATACAAGTTGACACTTTCTGATGGCCCCAAGACATGTTGATTTTTTTGTCCTCTTCTTGATTCTTGTTATCTCTCTCAAATCGGCTCGCCATCAAATGTCATTTTCCAGATCATAAATTTTCTACAGAGAAGTGCTGGATGAAAGGAAATGATAAGATGGAGATAAAAAATTGATAGGCATGGAGAGAAAGAGATGTTGCATTTTTGGGAATGGGGTCGTAAAAAGACTATATAAAGAGAGCGGTTTTTCTTTGAGTTGATGGAAGTGATTAGGTTGGTGGAGGGAATTTGAATTTTATTGGAAAATTGCAGTTTTGGAAAAATGCTCTTTTAAAAAAATCACTGTAAAACCTGTAATATTTAAAAGGGCTCCCTAATTTTTAAAATTATCTTTGAGTAATTTTTTCTTGATTCCTGTCCAAGATATAAATAGCGACGCCGCACCTACGATACTCATCCCATAAGTTCAACTCCTTGGGAGGCTTATTTGAACAAAATTTCGATAAAGTTTTGTTTCATGTCCTTCCACCTTCAGAAATTTGCATTGTTTCATTTTTCACATTTTTCAGACATCTGAAACCTTCTGATGTATACCAACCCTCCTAAAACTTCTAAACGATCTTCTATTCTTCCACAACTTCGCATTTCTCGAGTCCCATCATCCAGTCTTCTCACACTTCTGTCTCTTCTTCTTCTTCTACATCCAAGTGCTCGTTTATCAAACAGTTATGTGTTTTGTCTGTCAAACACTTTCCACTCTCTTCCTCTCTCATTTCCTCTCTACTATTTTTCTTTTTCCCGAATAATATGTAAATGTAAAGCAAACGATTACATATCGTCGTCTTCTTATTCTCCTGAATTCTGTGTTCACATTTCGAAAAGAAGTGATAGAAGAAGGTGATAAGAATGAGTGATTAGTGTGGCCTGGATTGGGATCACAATCCTTCCTCTCTTTGAAGTCTTGCCGAATTGTGTTCTTCTGCTGCAAAGAATTCTTCTTCTTGCTTTGATTTTTGTTTCCAGCGGACGGAAAGAGAGAGAGAGAGAGAAAATCTAATAACATTTTTATGGTATCGTAGAAGAGGGAGAAGACTTTACGACCACCCCCAATGTATTCTCAAGATAAGAGAGAAACATTAACGGACGAAAAAAGGACCATTAGGTTTTGGAGAGACGAGACACTATTTTTATGTGTTTTTGCGCATAGTTTTACGATTTCTTCTTCTTCGTTACCATATGCTTGCAAATTTGAATTTGTGTTTTCTTGAATGTAATAATTAATTAGCCGTTCGGGTTAGAGACCCTAAAATTTAATTGGAGCAGAATCCAGGAACAGCTGGTTTGAGAATCATAAAATAGAAATTCAGGCTCTGAAATTTTGATTCCAATCTCAATTGACACATTTTGAGTCGAAATTCTCAAAAATTATTATTCTTGTACAAAAAAGTGGAGATATGGAAGAGACGACAACTACAGTAATCTAAAAACATTTGTATTTTCCCAATTCATTATTTGTTTTTTTGTGAGTTTTCAGTCAATTTTTTCAATATCAAAAGTTTCAGCTGTTTGACTTTTTAGGGAAAAGCCAACAGAAAAGTCACTAAAAACGAAAGAATAAATTTGGAAATGAAACATATTTCTAGGTTACTGTAGTTGTCGTTGTGGGACATTCCTCGGCCACCCTTGTTTCTCTTCCACAGCTCCGATTTTTTGTACCAGATAAATATCTGAGAATTGAAAATTCCAAGAACTATTCTGAGAATTATGCTTGTATGGTCGCGAATTTTCGAAATTCAAACAAAACGCTTTTTTTACAAACATTCCATTTTTATAGTTAGCTCTTGTTAGAGCGCATTTGCGGCATTGAAAGTTAGAAGATACAGCGCTTTTTAATTTCGATATTGAGTCATTAGTTTTTATCTGGTATATAGCAATCATTGCAAGAATTAGAAATACCGTATCCCAAGGATTTTCAAATTTCAACCCACCCCCCCCCCCTCTTGTTCAATTTCCCCTAAATCCTATAAAGAATCGGGTATAATCCAATTGAGAGCTCTCAACCAGATGCGTGGATTCGAAATTCAAAAAATAAGAGAGAGGATGCCTTGCCTCATTTTAATTGGCTTCAATTCCCATTGATTACTCCCTACAAAAAGACCTTTTCTCCCTTCAAACAACACATGTCCCACCAGCTTCATTTCTCTTCTTTCTTCTTCTTCTGCCAAAAAGTTCACACCTTTCGTGTCCGTTCGTATTTCACACCCTCAAGGCCATCATCATCTCGATTCCACCCGTGTCTTGCCTCTCTCTTTTGCATACTTTTCCTCTCCTTTCTCACTTCATTCCCTTCTCCTTCCCTCCCCATTTTCCCCATTTTTTATCAATGTTTTCTTTTCTCCAGTCGCCGATTCTCCTTTCATCTTCACCGCCAAATTGTCGTCGCCCGTCTAAAAAGTTGCGTTTTTAGTCTTGCGGTTCTCTCCTGGCTTCGCAAGAAAACGAAGGAAAGAAAGAGGACACCAATATGATGGATATATATTTTTGCTTTTTCTTTCGATTCATCTTAGAAATCCCGTTTTTTCTCGTTTTCGAATTGTTCGCAGATGTTCAGCGAAAGTGCATTTTAGTGTTTTTTTTGGTTCGACTCCATTTGCTCAGTGACAGTTTTCTGTACTTTTCAAATTTAATTTTTGAAACTGATCAGAGAGTCTGAGAGTTCTTATTTTTGGAAATCTAATTCTTCAATTTGACAGTTTTGGATTTTTGAGAATTTCGAAATATGAGCAACATGATTTATTCGTTCCAGCAAAACTATTGAAAGCTTGGAATTCCTTGTGAGATTTACAGTAAAACCTGTAATAGAAGGGCTCCCTAACTTTTAACTAATTTTTCTCAGTTGCGGTCGAAGATACGAGAAAGTTGTCAACTGATAAACTATTTATCATAATATTAAATAGATTTTCACAGTTGACACATTTTTGATATCTTCCAAGGAATTTAGATCATTGAGCTCAAACTCGACAGTGTGGAGAGCTCTTCTATTACAGGTTTTATGGTATTACAGAAGAGTTCCTTCAAGGTGTCACTTTTGAATGTTTCCATTCTGTTTTCTCACCAATTCATCATTCTCTCTCTCTCTTCCATCAGTTTTTTGTGGTCCTCTCTCTTCTTTCTAATTGATCGTAAAATGTCTCGTGAAGGCGTTCGCAATCTCTTTGTCTCCCCATCAATAATCCATCACCACAAGCCATCAAAACCTGTCACCACAATACTTTTTGTTCAGAGCCGCCACCCCTGTTCTCACCCTTCTTCTTCTTCTCCGTTCTTTCTCTTCTTCACACACAGATAACACCAGGACCACCCTCATTCTCTTTTTTTGTTTCTTTTTATTTCTTTTAACCTTTCTGTCTTTTTTTGAATGGGAGACAACATAACTAGGTTTGTGATATCGCATTTTGAATGTGTGTCTTTTTTTGTGTGCCTTCTTTTTGGGAAGGTACGGTAACTCCTTATTAGGTCTGACACAAAAAATACTAGAGATCAACATTTTTGAAAGAAATTCTAATAATAAGTGTGTTTTTTATTTATTGAAATTTTTCCGAGCCATCTAATTTGGAATACCGTAAAACCTGTGATAGAAGGGCCCCACATTGTCAAGTTTGAGTTTGGTTGAAGTTTGAAGTTTGAGCAGTTTCTGTCAAAGATATCAAAAAGTTGTTAACTGATAAAATATTTTAATTATTATGATAGACAATTAATCAGGTGACAACCTTTTGATATTTTTGGCAGAAATCGAGAAAAATTGCTCAAAGTAAATAGTTAGGGAACCTTCTATTACAGGTTTAACTGTACTTTAAAAATTTGAAGTTTTAAAATACATATTTATGAAGGATTAAATAAAATCTATAAATCAACTTTTCAAAATTTGCTTAATTTGCAATAATCTAACAATGTCGAAGGTTTTCGATACTTTTCAATTTTCGAAATACAAGAAAATCTGTTTTTATGGTTTATTCAAAAAAGTGTTTCCAGAAGTTTTTCAATCTCAGTCTCGGAACCTCCATATTTTTGTCTTCATTATGTCCCTTTCACACTTGCTTCGCCATTTTTCTAAAATCTTCTTTCACTTATTCTTAAAAAAGAGTCTTGCTCATTTTTCACCTAGATTCCCAAAACCTATTCGTCTTATTCTGCTCTTCCTGACACATATCCGTCACCTTTTCAAGCTTCTTCGTTTGCTTTTCCTAGAATTTCTATATCCATTGGGGGGTCTTGCGTGCCCATACGGATTCTTCTCCTCCCCATCCATTCCCATAATTCAATCCTCAACCCACCAATTCCACGTCATAAATCTTATCTCTGCCTTCTTTCTTCCCTCTTCTAGTATTCTTCTCAATCCAACACATATGTTTCTGATCATTTTCGTTTTTCGATTCCTCTTTCTCTTTCTCTTACTATTCGAACATCTGCTCCACTGCTCTCTATGTCTGCTCTGTTCATTGATCCGAAAGCTATAAAAATTGACTAAAAGGGATTAGGAAAAGCCAGCCCGCAGTCAGGTCAAATCTAGGTGTACATAAATATTCCATCTCAAGTGGTAGTTTTCTGGCCCACCACGTGTTTGTATCGGGGTGCCGAAGAACACATAAACATAAAAACGTGGAATGGGTTCCTTTCCTTCCCTTCTAATCTTTCTCTTTTTCTGCGCAATACGCCGCTCCGATTGATGACCTGGTGGGGAGGGGAGACGATGGATTTTATGGTTTTCTTCCGAGAAGAAAAATAATAAGAAGATACCTCTCCAGCTTTTAGCGAATCGTAATCCGCAGAGTTGTACGAATCGAACACTGATGAGAATCCTCATTTGGATAACTCAGAGCTCTTCTTAAAATTACTACCTTTTTAAACCAACATGTTCCCATCCAAAAATGTAAAATTCCGTGTTTCTCTGAGCTTATATTTTTCGAACTCCTACAATTTCTTTTTGAGTTACATCTGGAATGTTATCGTGATGGAATAGTTTTTTGAAACCGGAAATCTGAAAATGGTGTTTCTGAAAAATGTTCAGAGCCAAATAATTTCGGGTCATTTTCTTTGAAAACTTTATTTATTACTATTTTCACATTATTACAGTACAAAAAATCGTAGCTGTGGAAGAGAAACACCGGTGACCGTGGCCGGATGGAAAATGCAAATATTTTAGATTACTGTAGTTTTCGTTGTGGGACCTTCGGCCACGGGGACCAGCATTTCTATGTCACAGCTCTGATTTTTTGAACCATAATAACATCACAAAATTTGAAATCCCGTGTTTCTCAGAGCTTCTCTTGATAGCAGTTCTACTATTCTTGGTCCCCATCAAATGTTCTTCGAATTGAATCCCTTTTTGAAGCTTGCTATCTGAAAAAGAAGTTTCTGAAAAAATTTTCAGAGCCAAATTCAGAGTAAAATAATTTCAGCATATTTTTCTTCGAAACCCTTGTTTATCCTTATTTTTATACCTTACTGTAAAACCTGTATCAGAAGGGCCCCTAACTTTTATTTTTGAGCCTATGTTTCTTTGTTCCTGGCAAAGGTTTGGAAAGATTAGGAAGAATTGTCAACGGTTGATAAGTTAGTTCAAATGTGACAGCGTGGGGACTCTGTACTACAGGTTTTACGGTATCTGGAAATTAAGATTTTTAAAGAGTAAGAATTTTTTATTGTGTCATCTGAAGGCGGACCTATTTAAATTTCAACCTTTCCCTATCTACATGATTTGAAATTTTTCCAAAGTTTTTCATTTAAAATCCATTTTCGAAATTTCCTGTGCTACCTGATGCTTGATCTACCTAAATGCATCTCGTTCTCTCGTTCATTCACCCATCCGATTTTATGGTTTTTTCCACCTCTTTCCATCTCTCTGTTTCCCTTTCTCTGTACTCTTGAAACGCTTCTGGTTGTCTCTGCGTCTCCTTCTCTCTCGTCTCTCAACATGTACCCAAGCTCCGCCTCCTATTCTAAAACATTCGCCTTCTTTCTGTTTCTCTTCTTTTTTCTTCTCCAGATGAATGAAAAAGAAGAAGAAGAAGAAGAAAACGAACTCTTCTTGGTGACACCTTTGAGTCGAACACAGCCGGAAAAAAGAGAGAGAGAAGAAAAAGACCCCACACTGATTTTTATTGCTTTTCTTTCTCTTTTTACCGGTGCCGACACAATCGGCCAGCAGGAAGAATAATGGCGACGATTCGAATTTTCTGTCGTCGTCGTTTTTTTATTGAAAAAGCGAATCTTTGAATTTAACCCAATCTCATTAGTCATCAGAAAGAAGAAGCTCGTTTCGTAAGAAAAACAACTTTGCTAGTCTTCCACCCCAATGTTTTTCTTCCGTTTCTTTGTTTTCTCCGAATTCTGAAAATCAAGCTTTTTGTGGTAACCATAGTGAGCGGCCCTCGTCGATCTTTTCCTGTCATCCAGTCTGTCTACACATCAATCTTTTTTATTCGTATTTTTTCCTTTTTTTCTCCCAACCTTCTCCGAACCAACTAAATTCACCTAATTTTCAGATCGTGTATGTCCTATTCCCACTAATTCATCTCATCTCATTTCTCTCTACAACAATGCGCTTACTGTTATTCCTATTAGTCATTATTTTGTGCAATTACACTCTGGATGCACGTCCATCGGTTTCCCATACACAACTCGCGTCGCAATTCAAATTCGCCGAAAAAGCCGATATTTTTGTGACGCACAGGAATATCAATGAAGGTACGTTTTTGGCAGAAAAAGTTTTTGAAGAAAGAGATGATGATCGGTAAGTACTGTTTTTGGAGTGTGTTCTGAATTGACGTCAGAGGGAATTTGCAAAGTTTTAAAAGTCCAAAAGAGGTTGAATTTGGAATTCTAAAAATTCTGAGAATATGAGACCTTATGTTAGGGGTTTTCGAATCAAAAAATTATACTGGAATACTTTCAAACCTGTAATGAAAGTCCGCATTCTCAACTTTGAGCTCAATTGTCAACGTTGACCTTAATCATCTCACAATCAGTTCCTAGAAGAAATATCAAAAAAGTGTTAACAGATAAAATATTGGTGATATTATGATTAATATTTTATCAGTTGACAGATACTTTTTACTTTTCATAGAAATTGGGTTGATTGAGCTCAAAGTTGGACTTATAAGAGACGGTTCCGGTAGGCTTTTCTTAGAGGACCTTCAGTTCTAAAGTTTTAGTCACAATTTTTCAATTATTAATTCTGAAAGTTTCAGTCTGTAATTAATCTTGTAGAGAATTCTTTAAAAAAAGATAATTCGTCTTGAAGTTGTTAGATTGAAAACAAGCTTAACATTATTTAATTCGTCAAAAATTCGGATCATAAAAAATCAGACTGTTGGTTTTCTTCGATAGAATTTACCTCTTGAGACGTAGCCTTCCAAACCTTTGAATTTAAATTTTTACTATCATTTGCTATTATCCACCAGTACGGGGCTCTACAGTACCCAGAAATATTTATTACTGTTCCTCAACCACTCAATTCCGAACACCTGCGATATCTTTCCATTACCAAAGCATCCTGTCCCAAAACATCCCACACCTGTTACTTCCTCCCTCAAGTCAAAACAAATATCCAAAATGACCACTAATTACAGATCGTACTCAGGACGAAAAAACGATCAAGCTGTTGGGCACGTTCTCGGCAGTCGGAAGCAATTATGAAACAGGTGGAGACATTGTTCAGGTAAGCGTGTCTTTCCATTCCATTTCTTTATCCATTTGTCAGAAAGACATCTGTTTTTGAGGGCCAATTTTCAAGGAGCCAGCCTTTCAGATGATATATTTCTATAGAAAAGCTCCGAAAGCTTAACCCGGTTTTTTGAAGTTCTATTCCCCAGAGAGGGACCGTGTCTCGTCTTCACCGCCCCGCCCGACCGCTCTAAAATATTAGTTGTTGTGTTTTCTAGAGAAAGAAAGCACAGAAAACGTTGGTTTTTGACACGAAAATACAATTTAGTGTGTCTGCACAATGCATTAGGCAATGTAACGGACCCTGAGGCCTTTAGGGTCCCAATTTCCGATATGGGAGGGAAAATAGATAGGAAAATGTACTGGAGAAGAAACTAATCGAATTTAGGGGAAGAAAGATAGGAGAAGGCTTTGACCTCGTTTTTGATGGAAATGGTGCGTAGCTGGTTGGAAATTGAAAGTAAACAGAAATTTGGAAAAATTTACGCTCTGATACTTTGAGCAGATTCGGGGATCCAATACAAATAGATTTTGGAAATTGATTACCGCATGTCCTCTAATTGAAGCCCGCCCAAATTGTCAAATTAGAGCTCAGCAATTCCTGTGAAAGATATCAAACATTTGTCAACTGGTAAAATATTGGTGATACTATGATGAATATTTAACCAGTTGACAAGTTTTTGATATCTTTCACAGGGATCGAGATAATTGAGCTCGGAATTGCCGGTTTGTGTGGACTCCTGTTAGAGGAATTACGGTAATTGGCTTGGAAAGGATTACTGTTTTCCTTGGTCCCAGATGTTTTGAAAAATTGTTTAGAACTGTAATCTATTGCACATTTCTGATGGTTTCCGATACAATTTTATATCTTTAAAAATTTACAGTAACTCCAGAGTGAATTGTTCCATTCGGTTTCTTACCGTATCCCACCAGTTTTTTGAAAACGCATCAGCATTTCTCTCAATTTCCTAATTCTTGCTTCTCCGATCTTCCTCCATTTTCTCATCCACCATCTGCTCTTATTTTCCACAGTCATATATCACCGATTAGGGGGCCCAAATATTCCTTAACATGTTTCTGTTTTTCCTCGGCGGGCGCCAAAATACCGAATTGAGGTCAAAAAGATCCTCTTGGGAGCACTTGAGGATGAGGGGCTCACGGACCGCCCGGTTTTTCTTCGAGACTAAATGAAATTTCTTTTTCCGGGGGAGAGAGACTCTTTTGAAGACTCTTTTTGTTCAATGCATGTGCTAACAAGTACACGGATCCGAAAAGAAGAAAGAAGACAAACAGATACAACAAACAAATAATACACACAATTACTACGTCTCCTTCTTCTTTTTCTTCTTCTTCCAACATCTTCTTTTCACCAACTCCTTTTCCCTCCATCATCATCTTATTCCTAGGCTTCTTTTTAGTCAGACGGCGGCGTTGCTCAAAAGAGCTGGGGCGCATAAATTTTGGTAGGGAAATGAGATGGTGTAATCCCATTCATGACCCCTGTCCTTCTCATGATTCGTGACCCAAAATGGGGAAGGAAGGGATTATATAGATACAGTCAAAACCAATAGCTATAGTAGTTGATTCAGTTCGAACTTCGAACTTCAAAGTTACAGTAACTCGATTCCAGGTATCATCGTTTCGTGCTTGCGATGCTCGTCGAAAAGGACTGGATCACACTGTCTTCGAACACGTTTCCGTGGTTTTCGTTGATGATGTTCAGCCATTTTTAACCGGATGTGTTGCATTGGATAATCAGGCGAGATTCGCTGAAAAGTCTGGAGCAATGGCATTGGTTGTTGGACCAGCATCACGCGTTGAGAGGACGACGAGGCCAATGACGGTAAGTGAAAGATACAAAAGGGATTAGGGAAAGATGAAGAATAGGAAGATGGCGTCATTTTACCGCCTTTTCTGTAGGAAGGATTTCAATAAGTTGCGTAACTTCTTAATGAGACTCTCATTGGTAAAACTGTTGCATTTCTCCCCTAGTTTATTGGAAAAATGATGCCAGGATATTTTTTTTGGGATTGTTTTTGAGATTTTCCTGAACACCGTAAAACCTTTAATAGAAGACGACGTCAAGTTTAAGCTTGTTGTTCTTGGGTTCTATGCAAGGTATCAAAAATGTGTCAACTGATGAAATGTTTGGGATACTATGCTGAACAATTTATCAGTTGACAACTTGTTCATATCTTTGACAGGAACCGAGATGAATTAGGTCAAAGTTTAAAGATCGGTGTCTTTCTATTAGAGGAAATAAAAATCAGCATTTTACTAAATACCTCAAAACTATTTTTTTTGCAGATCGGTGGCTCGAAAATCCCAATCATTGTATTGGATGACGAAGAAACTGAACGCCTTCGCGCCGAGCTCAAGCTCGCTTCTGATCGAGGAGCTGTCGCAAAACTCAGGATCTCTTTTATCGACGAAAAACCAACAAAAGTTCTGAAACTTCAAGTTTTCCGTCCAACTGTTCTCAACATCACTCTACTGGGATTATTAGTCATTCTCATAGTTTTTGTATCCCTTCTCGTGGTGGTCAAAATCCGATGCCAGCCAACAATGCATCGTGAGATTTGGCTCCGTGCTCTCGCCAGAACCGCTTTGACAAAAATGGAAATTCGAAGCTTCCAGAAGGAAAAAGGAGCTGATAGTGGGAAGAAGAAATCAGGTGGAAACACATTTGCGAGGTTGAAACATCATAGATCCTCATCAAGACACTCGTCATATCTGGCAGTTTTTGGATCCTTGACTTCTGTTGCTCAGTCAACATCTCATTCAACACCAGAAAGATGTGCAATTTGTTTGGATGATTATGAAGAAGGAACTGAATTGAGAGTTTTGTTCTGTGGACACGAATTCCATCCGAAGTGTGTTGATCCATGGTTGTTGTCCAAACGAAGATGCCCACTGTGTCAATTTGATGTCGTTTACAAGCACTATCCAAAAGTAGACTCTCCGGAAAAGGCGTCAGGGTGAGTTCGAAGAAGCTAGAGTCAGAGAAGCGAGGCACACTGCGTCTCTAACCTCATTTTTCAAAATAGTCCGATTCTTGTCATGTGCACACTCATTTTGAAGCTCTCAATGAGCAGAGTTCAATTTTTTATAATATATTCAACTTTATCGAAGAATGTGAAATTCAATTTGAAAGTTTTAAGTATTACAAATTCAAGATATTATTTTTCAGCCCATCCGACGACACCGCATCTCTCCTTCCCCGTTCATCGCCATCAGAAGCTCCACCAGTTCGATCATCTCGTCAATCCCGATCTCACCGTAATCCTCATCCATTCCCTTCAATGACCCGCCCATCATCTCATCAACGTCCAATTCCTCAACCAGTGGCTCCAAGAACCAGAAGTTGTCCAAAACGGCGTCAGCTGAGATCCCGAAATCAGATTGATTTTTCGGTGCGGATAGGAGGGTGAGTAGATCATAATCAGAAGTTGATAACAGAATCTGAGCAAAAGTTATTTCAGTTACTCCTCTGACGTCTCCTCTTCTCATGCTGAACCATGCCGATCGTATGAAATTGAGCCACGTACCATCCAACAGTTATAGAATGGATTAATCCATATTCTCCATCCCACCCATATCACCTTTCTTCTCGGTTCTCTTTCAGTTTCTGTCGTGCCTTGCCCGTCCCCCATTATTTCTCATTCGTGATCCCAGTTGATCCCAATCAATCACTTTCTTTGATCTCTCGCTTTTTTTCTTGTTCCAAAAATGCTTCTCAACCTGTCCATATACAATTCTTTTCCCTCACTTTCTTCTCGTGTGCACGCAACGGGTCAATCACATTCCCTCACTGCATATGACATTATTCTTCTTGTTAGATACTTTCTTCAGATGTTAATAAACTGTTTTAATTTTTGAATAACTACTTTTGATATCTGAAAAACCATTAAATGACCCTTGCCACAAAAAAGACGCATTTTGCAACCGTTACAAATTTATAGGTTCACATCACCAGTTACAATGAAAGTATAAAAGTTTAAGAGAATAAATACCGTAATACCTGTAATAGAAGGGCCTCTAACTTTTAACTTTGAGCCAATTTATCCTGACTTCCATGCAAGATATTAAAAATGTGTCAACTGACAAATTATTTCTGATATAATGATAAACAATTTATCAATTGGCGAATTTTTATATCTTTGACAGGAACCGAGAAAAACTATCTCAAATTTGTGAAGTTAAGGGCCTTCTATTACAGGTTTTACGATGTCGAAGTATTCACTAATAGAAGTAACAACATCATAAATACGATTAGACATTAAATTGATAAGGTGAGGATGTGGTGGTTAGTCTTGAAGTAGATGTTCTGCTCTAAATTTGCATATTTGACCACAACTTCATTGCTGAGCACCCCACGATGTTGTACTTATTATTAAGACGGTACATATTTCCCCAACACGTTCTCAATCGGATTCCGATCATGAGAGCATCTTGGTCATCTTATAATGCTGATTTTTCTGATCGAAACTATGCCAAAATGGATCAGTGGAGGTGAGTGGCAGCATCCACATGCTAGAAAGTGATCTTACGATGATGGAAATGACGGCGGAACTATTTAAACATTTGTATTCGTAAATAAGATGGCTCTTTTTCAGTTTAGGAGTCCCAAGGTCTTTAAGGGGAACCGGGAAAGAAGGGCCCGAAAAAAGAATATGGGGTCCTGGATTATAACGACAATCAGTTAGAAAACTACTTTCCGGATAAAACAGTCCTGTCGGCAATTAATTCTTTCAAATGTGGGTATGTGAGTCAAAAAATTGATTCAGTTTGAGTTTTCTGCAAGACATCAAAAGCCGAAGCATGTCTAGAAGTCATGCGAACTGAAACATTTATTTCAGATGTTTTATCTAATAGACTTATTCGCTGAGACTATGCCTAAATACTGAAATTATTCTTTTGATATGATAGTCTGAAACAATTTTCACTAGCTTATTCGAACGGATTATGTACTTCAAAATTTGGAAAATTACAGGCCTCCGATTTTTTTGAGCATCCAATTTTATTTTGGGCCTTTGATTCCAGAAGAGTGCTGAAATATGTTTTTCGGGATCTTTTTTCGTTTATTTTCCTACTTTTCGACAATTTTAATCCCCAGAAATTCAGATTTTTCCTGGTATGTGCCAATCCCGCAAACAACGGAAAAATTTCGGTAAGATGCAGATTCCAGAGATGCTTCCATTTGTGGGCGGAGCCTCGACACGAGCGGCGCCCACGGTGTTTTCTTCCGGAACGTTTCAATAATAACTTTTCCCGCGCTTTATTCGATGGAATGCAGGATCCGCTGAGCAGCGACCGAACAGTTCATTTTTAAGCTTCCGCGGCGAGACCAAAGAGCTTAATTGAGATATTCAAAAGTTTCCCGTACAAGCGCATTCAGTTCTCGTTCAAGAAAATTCGCTGTGGGCGTCAGATTTTTTGTTTAGAAAGTACACATAATGGATAATCATTAGAAACACAGTTACTTGCTCAGCGTGATTTGTATGGACAAAAACTGATTGCCCCTTTTGAAGTGTTCTTGTACCTTCAATGATTCTGATATTTTCTAGATGTGAATTTAAAGGTTCGATTAATTTAATAATAATTTAATTCTTTATTTATTCATTTTTCTAGAAGGCGATTTGAGATATGAGAATGGTGGTCCCTTCGACGAAATGAGAAGAGAAAAGAAGGCGTTGATGATGAAGATTGATAGAAAAAGAAAGAAGTGTACCGTACACTTGATAAGGAATATTAAAAATATAACAAGTAGTGAATTTCAAAAAATTTTGTGAGCCATGTGAATCTTATGAATCTCCCAAAAGATGGACCGTTAAGTTTTTGGGAGCAACGTGTTTTTTCAACAAATATAACAGAAATATTAACACTTTCTGAATATTTTTCCCAAAATTAAAACTTTTGAAAATCACTACTTGTTATATTATAAATGAGAGGCACAAAAAAGATGTCAAAGAAAATATATTAAAGAGAGACAGTTAGTGTGTGTACAAGTGACGACCAGCGCTGGTTTGGGGGGATTGGAAAAATGAATTTGATGAGTTTTTGATTAATATTAAATATAACAGAACATAGTTTAAATACTAATTTCAAAAAAAAACGGAATGAATGAAAACTGATAAAGCATGATTTTTGAAAAAAGAAGAGTTCCTAAGGATCAGTAGTGGAGGAATCAAGGTTGGCTGGCCTTGTTGAAACACTTCTGGCATTTTCCACGTATCGCCCAATGGAATTGATTAAAATCTGTCTTCACCCAGAGTTCTGTGTCTTTGACGGCTCCGTTTATTCTTTCCGTGATTCTGAAAAACAAAAACATTTAAAATCAGCCTTCTTTCAGGGGACAATCTTACCTAATTTCCTTTCCAAGATCCGTTAAGCAAATGACTTTTCTGACTCCTTGTTTTCCATCGACAGTCTTATTGCTCTCAAAACAGAGCTCAATGTCCAATCGTCTTTTGTGGTAGGACATTGTCATTTCCAAATCCAGAGCCATTGACATCAATTGAGCTGCACAGTGCCCTTCACTCAGCGAAAACGATGATGGATCTTTTTCCAACTTTGATGGCGACAAAGACCCATTTGAAGTGTCGTGGGTGGTGGTTGGAGATGCAGATCTGGTGGCTGTATTTACTGTTACTGAAGTAGCAGTGGACGCTGTTGTTGGTGGTTTAGAAGATTGAGTAGAAACACTCGGAAATGACTGCGGTGGTGTGGAGTTTCCAGCTCCGGCAGCGTTGAGCATTGCGAACATCACTGGATTGGTATTCGATAGACTCCTCACAAAATCAGCTAGCTGGTTATCTTCATTTGTGGAAGTGTTTGGTGATCCATAAGTATCCGGAGACTCTGATTTGACTGGTTCATCGGTACTTGAAGAAGAGGCAGCCTGGAATGAATTTCAATTTGTCGGAAGTCATAAAACATGTTAGTTAACTTCTTCCCCAAAAATTTCGAGGCTTTATGATCGTTTGTTCTCTTTTCTCTCCCTAGATTCTTTATCATTTTCAGGGTCCCCTTATCATACATATACTCCCCTCAAAACGCTGCTCGCAGCGCCCACAACCTGTCAAATTCTTTTGCCCGAAAGAGCTCTCGCAGACTGACGTGTCCCCTCTCTCGTTCTACTGATAACGTTGATATTGTCCCTCTTACCTCGACATGATTTTCGGTATCGTCTTCTAGCTCTTCCTTTTTCACAAAACCACTGTTAATGTTGATAACTTCTGATGATTTTGGTAGAGAGTCCAGGAAGTTCAGAGAGGATCCGTTGGCAAATGAGGAAAAGTCAGCATCGGAGAGTGTGCCAGTTTGCTGAAGTTGTTGGAAGAAAGCCATTGAATCGATAATTGGTTTTTGCTCCATTTTGACCATTGATGGAAGTCCGTGTGGAACCGAACCAGTTGATGTGTTACCTCCTCCACGAACACGCTTGACGTATGGCTGGGTTGGAGTCTGAAAAAACAAAAAATTAAAATCAAGACTAACGAAAGGAGGTTCTCTACATTTTTGAATATTTTGCGCGCTGAATGTACCTCGTCAAAATCCATACATCCGGATCCAGCAGGTCTTTTAATCTTCTTACGAGTGGTTCCATCTCTTAGCACATCCTGATGGTATGCATTCATATGACCCCACATGGATTTTGTACTACTGTCGTTTCTTTTCAGAACTTTCCAACAATAGATACATTCCACATTCTGTTTCTCATTGAGACATTTGTAATGCTCCCAGATTTCAGAAGTCTTCTTATGTGGGCGCATTCCAGCGGCAAACAAAATCTCATTGGCTCGCGCGGCCGTTAGGGGAGACAGTTCTTTGTCCATTGTCTCTTTTTTGAGCAGTGCAGCTACCATAGGAGCCTCGGTTACTGACGAAGAGGAACTGGATGCAGTATGTTGTTCTAGCAGAGCCATCAGTTGGGATGCATCAATTTCAGCTCCATCAGTGGCAATAGAAGAGTCATAGAAGGCTGAATCATCCTTTGAGTGAGGATGTTCCATGACTAGTGTACTGTCTTGTTGCTTCCGGCGACTCATGGTATGATCTAGAGATCAGTTGGTCAGTATGGACTACAGTAAGACGAACGAGTTGGAGGAAGAATAATGGGAAGGGACCAAAAAGAATTCAAGGACGAAATGAGAAGAATGAGGGGAAACAGGAACCTCCACAAATTGGGGGATGGTTGAAGTGAAGGTAAGTGTATAGGCAGCCGGTTGGTCGGGGGGACGACGATGAGACCACAAAAGTGAGGGGGAGCGCCACGGGGGAAAAGAGAAGTGTGGCCATCACGCCCCTATTCTCCTGTCTCTTCCTCCATACTCTTCCCTTCCCTTCTCCCGCCCTAATATTTTCCCCCGTGAGACGGGGCAAAAAGCCCCGAGACGACGGGGCGAATCGATAACAAAAAGTCGTCACATACGACCGAAAAAGTGTAGAAAATAGACAGGAGAGGGACCGGTGTGCGGGAAACGAAAAATAGTGTCAGAGAGAAACAAGAGAAAAAGAAGGGGAGCGTCAAAAACGGGGCACGGGAGGGGGGCCCCGTTTTTGTGGAGAGCGCTCCCCGAGACTCGAAAACTTCTCGTACACATACCGCCGCCCCACTTTCTACACAAATACTCTTGCACACCGGGGCAAAAAAAAACTAAAAGATGGACAAAAAGGAAGAAAAGTGAGGAGTATATATGAAGAAGAAGAAGTGGAAGCTTTTTGGGTGGTCCCTTCAAAAGTGGTCCGGTTGAGGGAGAAACACGGAGAGCCGGAGCCCCGGAGTACTGTAGTTGTGTACATAGGGGAAGTCTAGTGTATGCGGAGGGGAAAACCTACGCTAGAAAGGACCCCCGTATCTTTTGGAAATGTTTGTCCTTGCCTTAGACATAAATGGTCTACAAAAAGTGTACAGTTTGGAGGAATCCAAAATTTTGAGTTTTGAAAACTTTGGGTTCAAAGGAGCCAGTGTATTAAATTTCAAAAAAAAAAGAAATGGCCATATCCTAAATAGTCGAGTGCCTGAGCTGAAAAATTTCAAAATTGGGAGGACTCAGGAAATTCTAAGCTTTTTTAAATTGAGATTACGAGGTGGACCAGACTCTTAGGGACGATATTTCAGAAAAACTGTGTCTAGAATTAATCCTAATAATCGGATCTTGGCCAAACTTAGACTTAGAAAAGGCTAGAAAGTGGGAAAAAAGACCAGAAATCCAGTTGGTGGATGTGAGGATGGGACGAAAATGAGAAAATGAGAAGGGGAAGAATATAAGAAAAAAGAAAAAAAGAAGGAAGACACGACGAAAGAAGAAGAAGAAGATGTCGATGATGATGATGATGATGACAGGGGGACAACGATGGAGGAGAGGGGGCCGCCGCGCCCCCCGTCTTCTCGATCTTTTTCGGAATGGAAACGGGAGGTCTCTTTTCGACGGGGGGCGAAGAAAAAAAAGACGACGAAGAGTACCGGAGGGGCGAAGAAGTGAGTTTTGTTGGTTGGGTGGAGAGATCATACGATGGTTGAGAGGATCCAGAGAACTTTCGGAGGGACTTGGCCGGCCAAAAAACCCCCGCGGCGGGGGGGGGCCCGGGGCGAGGACCCCGCCCCATTCTCCCCATCTTTGCTTCCTTTTTCCTCCACAATTCCTCTACGGTGTCGCCGGCGCTGGTGGGGTCCAGATTCCCCCGGAGGAGGAGGAGGAGGTTGTTTCGTTTTTCCTGGCGGGAAGCAAGAAGGGATGAGGTCGGGAATGTGAAAAGCAAAGAATGAAGATGGAGAGAACGAACCCAAGTGAGAGAGAGAAACTGCTGACCGTTCACTTTCGGGAGGGGAGCGAGAGGGAGAAAGAAAAGAGGGAGTAGGTGGGGGGGTGCCTGTGCTAATAAAGGCGAAAGGTGAAATCCTGTTGCGACGGACTGTTGTGGAGCGAGGACGGGGGTGGCCAGAGCGGAGGAGGAGATGGTCTCTCTCTCTTCTTCGCTCCGTTTCCATTTATTTCCATTTTTGGGTCGGACGGACTGTCTCCGAAAAAGAAGAGAGCGTACTTCACGGGGGTCGGGGCGGAGTACAGTCTCTCCCTCATCACGCGGGGGATTTGGAGGCCATTTTGAAGGTGGGCATTTCGGGGAGAAAAAGAGGACGGAAATTGGATAGGTACCAATATCATCCTACTTATGAGAAGACGGAAAGAAAAGGTACGGAGGGTTTTTACGCCGGATCTTACTCCACATTTGGCGGTCAACTTAAATTGAGGGTTTTGGTCCGGATCTTCTGAATTTCGAATTCAACGTTTGAGGTTATTCCGTGGTTGCTCATTATTTTGAAGGACAGTAACTGTGTCTTCAGCAAAAATCGCGCGTTTCAATAATCCCAAAAAAACTAACCTTGGCTAACTTCTCACTGAATCTATTGAAAATCCCGTCATCCGAGTGAAACTTTTTCAAGTGTGTTCTTAAATTATTCGGACTCCGATCGTCTCCACTCCACGTACAATGCAGGCAGATCACTCCACCGGCGCCAGCTGGAACAATTAAGATTTAAAATTTAAAATTCAAATAGAATATTCTAGAAAGAACACATGTTCCGCGCGAAGCCAAGAGAGTTGCCATGACGAGAAGACATCCAGATGGCGTCGTGTGCAATGGAGCACGCTTACTTACTCGAGTCTTTGAGGTCTTTGAAAAAGTCCCAGACTGGATGCGACTTCTTTCTTCCCGCATTTCTTGCCCATGCGGATGGAGATGAATTGGATCCTGCTGCAAGATGAAGTCCATTTGATCCGGATCCTCCGTATGGTGATGATCCTCCGTTTGGAGCTTGAGCAGCAGCGAGGACTGGCATTAAATCACGGATTGTGGCGTCCGAAAAATCAGATTCTGAGTTTCCGATTGGAGTTCCAAACGATTGAATAAGTGAGAGAGCAGCAGAGTGATTCTGGAAAAAACTTTGGCTTCTGAAATTATTCAAAAAGGAGGGCGAACATAAAATTAAATTTCCTAGAACAAAAATTTCGAAAAAAAACTCCCAAAAAATGCAATTTTAAAAATGAGTCATTTTGTCCAAAAAAGCGGAGAGATAGATGGAAAAAAATCAAGAGGAAATTTGCATTTTTGAAGCAGTTCGATTTTTTTTTGGTTTAAAAAAAGGGATACCTCTTCTGTTCCATTTTGATTCTCTTCGTGTTCTCCGGACGGAGCGACGGGTTCTGGAGATTCTGAGCTGGCTGTGTCAGAGTGAGCAACGTCGGTGGGTGGTGGATTGACAAGTGCGGCGAACTGAAATATTCGGTATTTTAGAATGTGGTTTGAAACTTTCAGAATTTCATATTCGACCAACTAAAATATATTAGATAGAGCTTGTCCGAGTGCTACGAAATGGTATTAATTGGAAAACTGTATCTTAGCTAAAAACAAAGTTACAGAAGAAACGGGCCGAAAAAACAGGCAAGAGCCGGATCAGTTATTTTATGGCTTAACACTTTGTTCATAGACAAGATACAGTTTTTCTTTATACAGTTTCCCAAATAGTATAATTTTCAGTGCGTATATGCTTCAGTTGGTTCAAAAATATTAGGGCCCGCAAAAGGCTCGCCAGGCCTTGTTTACAGGTATGGAGCATTTAGATTTCAAACCAGAAAATTCAAAAAAAAAAGATGAAAGGCAATTTGAAAGTACATTTCGTATTAGAAAATGTCATACCTTGGAAGTTCTTCCATTATCACACCTCATTAAAAATGTATTGATCTAATTAATTATATAGGACCTCGGGACATGGGAAGGAGCAAATGAAACAAGATTATTCGAAACATTTCGTGAACCCTGTAATAGAAGAGCCTCTAGCTTTTAACTTTGAGCCAATTTTTCTCGGTTCCTGTCTAAGATATGAAAAAGTTGTCAACTGTTGTCAAAAAAAAGTTGTCAAATTTTTTTATCATAATATTAAATAGATTTTCAAAGTTAACACATTTTGATATATTGCATAGGAATTGAGATAATGAAGCTCAAACTTAACAGTGTGGGGACACTTCTATTATTAGGTTTTGTGGTATGATTGAGGTGTTCGGAAGGTTTTAGAATCTGAAGTGACTAAAAAACTGACCAATCCTTCTTTGAACATATCCAAAATTGCTCCATTCTGTTCAACCATTCCAGCTGTTCCAATCAACGACATCGGATCATAGGGTGGAGAATCAACGGATGATGATGAGCTGAACGTCGTTGGTCCATCTGAATCCGACGTTTTCTGTGATAAAACGTTGAGTTGACTGGCGAGAGCCGTGTGGAGAGCATCTGAGAATGGTCCTCCAAGAAGCGATGTCATTCTTCTGTAAAAAAATGAAATTTCTTTTATCAAAATTAAGATGGGAGGATTTGAGTAATTATGAAGGAAATAACAACAAATTGAGGGGAGAAAACTGAGCAATGCTTAGGCATTTGAAACAAAAAAGGTTATTGATTCAGACTCTTTTTGGATGTGAAGAGAAGAAGAAGGACAGGGGGACCATAAAAAAATTTTCCGCGCAACAAGACCAGGTGGGATAATGAAAAAATCAATAGGGGTTATTAAAATTGGGCTGAGAATAGCCTATGGGAATCTTGCCAAAAATTGAACTTTGGTAATTAGGAACCGCTGAAAATCAGTAGATCAAAATTGATTTGGTTAAATTAAATATAAAAAAGACTTGTTATGTTATTCATCTTTTCTCAAAATACAAGAATTTTGCATATTCCACCGCCTCTGGTCTTCTGTAGATGTGTAAATTAACAAATATCGGAGAGGGGGGAACGAGGAGCGCTTCTCTTTTTTCTTACATTACATACAAAACAGATGCATACATACACATAGACATTTTATACGTACTACTGTATGTATATCTGATGTAAATGGAATAGAAGGAGTGGAAAATAAAGAAGACAAAAATTGTCAGAACTGGTAACGTCTTCTCTTTTTTAGAAGCAGCAAAAAGAGAAGGGGAAAAATGAGAGAGGACATCATAAATGTTTATTGTATTCATCACTACAAATAAGACTAAAACAGTGAGAGGTCTTTTTTCAGAAGGCAAATTAGTGTTAGCTGAAACCGAAACGAAAATTGGTTTTGGGCAAAAAAAAGAACTAAAAAAAGCGTTGCCATAGTTACAGAAAGTCAGCTTACAGCTAAGGTACTGTAGTAGCAAACTGTTGAATATAATTTGACGGATGGTTGTCATGGTAACCCAGAAAAAATAACTTAAAGGAAATCTCAAATTCCATGAGAATACCGTGAACCTGTATTAGAAGATCCCCCCCCCCCCCAACTGTCAAACTTGATCTGATTTATCTTGGCTCCTTTGCAAGTAAAAAATGTGTCAACTGATAAAATATTTTTGACATTATCATAAACAATTTATCAGTTGACAACTTTCCGATATCTTTCAAAGGAACCGAGATAAATTGGCTCAAATTAAAAGTTAGTGGGCTCTTTTATTACAGGGTTTACATAACCTAGTGGAGCAAGATTAGGGCTCAGGGCTCTGAAAGCTTTTTTTTTCAATTTACAGTAATCCAGATCCTAATTCTTCGAGATTCAAAAAATGGCCCCCCTCGCTCAGTTTCATCTACAGAAGACCCAAAAAAGAGTTTTTTTTTTGAAAAATAGGCAAATTCGGTAAAAAACAAACTATACAAAATAAAACTAAACGGTTTTGAAAATGAATGAAGCTTCTTCTTCTCATCCCCGAACAAAACGATATATAGTATCCAGAAAAGAAAAAGAACTAAAAAGGGGGAGGCTGTTATTATATAATATATGCTGGGGCGGAGAAACGTTGTGATCCTCTCTTCCTCTCTCTCTCTCTCAGCTTCTTCTTCTTTTCCAAAAGCTGTATTTTTACGATCGCCTATAATTGGTTGGAAAAGCGAACGAAGTCAGGAGAAGAGAGAAATGAACGGACAGGAAGAAGAAGAAGCAAAAAAAGGAATGGTCGGAGCGGCGATTCGAAATTAATTGCCCTTTTTGCGTTCATGTTTTCTATCCTGTAGGTCCAGAAAAAAGGAAAGGATGCCCGAACGCCATTTTCCGAAATCACTTTATCTTTTGAGGATATGCTTGGGAGGATGGACATTTCATTTATAGAGAGAGAGGGAGACTAGTTTTGTAATATAATATGTTTAATTCGATTCGAAAACAAAACAATGCTTTGAGATCAATAAAGAGAAAGAGGCCTTCAAATCAGGAATTTTGAATTGACTGGGAAAAACGATTGCGTTAGCTGTAAAACCTGTATTAGAAAGGCCCCTCTGATAGAAGGGCCCTCCGAGAGGAGCTTGGAATAATAGGACGGTCCATGTAAGGGCCCCTTTGAAATTAGAACGACTTTAATAAATTTTGGACGAGTATTCACCGATTTTTAAATGATTTTTTATTTTTGAAAAAATGACCGGAAAAATAGAAATACCAACTCTAATTGAAGGGTCCCTGTAATAGGAAGACCCTCCGGAGGTACCTTGGAACAATAGATCCCTTATGATACAAGTTTTACGATATTTTTATTTTAGAAAATTGACCCTATCTTTGTCGAAAGATGAATTTTTCAAACAAAAAAAAAAGAAAAATCATATTTTGCTGTCAAGATTGAGCTTAATTATCTCGGTCCCTTTGAAAGATATGAAAAATAAAATGTTTATAATAACATCACAAACATTTCATCAGTTGACAAAGTTTTGATATCTTTCACAGGTACCGAGATAATTGAGCTCAGAGAGCCCATAAAGGGTGGGCTTTAATTAAAAATTTACGGTATTAGTAAATTGAAAAATCATAATTTGGTTTTTAAGTTTCCCAACTTTTAGAAACTTATAATTGGGTTGGTTAAATTTTCGAGCTCAAGTTGAAAAATTATCCTATTGTAATACCTAAAATTTTGAAAACCTACAGTAACCTTATAGAAACTCAAGACACAAAAAAGGCATTATAATTCTTATCGTTAGACAAAAAACTAGAAGTTGTGTTGCTCAGTAGTAGCTCAAATTCCACTAGTGAATTCCAGATGAAATTCGAAATAAAATTTTGAATCGAAAATAAAAACGGACCGGAACTTTTTTTTTGTTTTTCTCCTCCCCATCTCAATTTCTTCTCAAAACCAAAATGAAAAAAAAAACTAATTTTCCCATCATCATTGTCTTCTTTTTTTTCGTCTTCAGTGATGATGATCATCCCTCACTCATCATCTGGCGATAACACAACATTGAGGGATCGTAAAACTTTTGTGGATGATCATTAAAATTTTTTGGGAAAATATGCCTCTAGTAGCTTTCTTTCTCGAAAGAAAAATAACTCCCGCCCGAGAAATTAAGAAATATATGAGAAACGAAAAGCCAATATTCTCAAGTTTTAGCAAAAAATGGGTTCCAATCCAAAAAATAATAATAAATCCGAGATGTCGAAGAAGGGGGCAGCTGTTACATTTTTTTTTTCGTGGTGCCGAAAAAATTGCCCGGTGTCAGGAGCCAGAAAAAAAACGAAAAAATTGTTTGCCCGTCGCTTTTTGACATATAAAATTTCACTAATCCTGCTTTCCACATTTTTGGAATTTTTTAGCAGAAAGGGGAAAAATTGACGACGACGACGAAAAAAAAATTTTTTTTGAGCATAAATTTTTTGTTGGTATTTCGACGAAGAAGGGATAAAAGATTTTTGAGAGAGAGAGAGAGGATTTGAATTTTGAAACCTCTCAAATTCCATAAAGACTTTGAGGACAAATGACGCTACAGAGAAGACATTTTCAGATTTCAAAAGCTGAAAAATTAGATTTCGAACTTTTGAACGGAGGTTGGAATTCCTATGTTCCGTAATTCCGAAATTTCGAAAATCGAAAACTTCAAAAATTGTGAAAATTTCAAAACCGGAAAACTCCGAAATTCCGAATTCTTGAAACGCGAAATTTTCGGAACTTCGAAAAGTTCCGAAAAGGCCATTCCGAACACCCCTCCCTGGGTTTTAAATCAAAATGACTGTTTTTTCGAAATTCAAAATTTCCAAAGAAAAAACCGAAAAGAATTCTAGACCCGTAAGTTTCCAAACGTTTTTTCGGAAACAAAAAAAAATAAAAATTTCTGGAAAAAAAGAAAAATTGTTTCCAAAAGAAAACAATAAGAGCCACTATTATTTTCCCTCCGGACACAAAAAAAAGCCCGGGGTCCTCCTCCCTTAAAAATTTTTCAAGAAAAAAAGTTTTTTTCAAACAAAAAACGGCTTCAGAGGCACCAGGAAAAAATGAGGGCCGAGTCGTCAAAAATCGAATTTTGAGAATGGTAGTTTTGGGTCTGGAGCGGGGTGGGCGGATTTAGTAAGCCCCCCGTGCTTCTAAAAAGGCTAAAAATAAGCGAGAAACAAAATTTTCCTTTCTCTCTCTCTTCCTCTCTCTCTCTGCCTATTTTTTTTGGGTATACAGACCACCCGCCTAAAATAAGGGACATAACTTTTTTTGGTTCGCTGGCTGGTCAAAAAATAGGAGGAGGAGGAGGAAAATTTTCAAAATTTTGAAGAAAAGAGAGAGAGAGAGAGGCCTATAGGATCCATAAAAAAATAGAATTTGCTCTTTTTTGGGGGAATGAAATGGGGTCTGTTGGTTGGAAGAAGGAGAAAAAGAATTTTCTAGAAGAATTCCAAACGACTCAAATTAGATCTTTTGAAAAAGAGAAAATGGGGTGAATTTTGAAATTTCGCCGAGTGAGAGAGTGCAAGGCAATAAAATTAACAGCTGCATTTGAACTACCCCATTTTTTCTGTTATTAGTATTTCCAAAACCCTGGGAGAGGCATTAGATAGTCTAAAAACGGACTGGATTTTTCAAAAAAAAAGGAAATATGGGGAGAAGAAAAATCAAAAAGGTGTAATCGAATGAGATGGATATAGACATGCAATATCTAAAAACTAGAGAAATTCAAGAAAACTTTTTTCTCCCTTTCCTTGCTCATATAATTTTGAAATTTTAAGATTCTAAAATTCATAATATGTGAAGATATCCGGTAGAAAGATCAGGACACAAAAAGGCCGAGGAGACGCAGAGAAACGAAAACGTCTGATTTCTCTGCTTCTCTCCCAACTTTCAGCTCACATATCTCGGTTCCTGTGAAATATATCAAAACGTAGTCAGCTGATAAAATGTGTATCATAATATCAAAATGTTTTTGTCATTTGACCATTTTTTGAAATAATTCACAGGAATTTAGATAAATCGGCTCAAATTGAAAATTCGGTTGGAGTGCTTACGGTAATTTTTGAAATAAAAATCAGAATCATGAGGCTTTATGAATTTTTGGATTCCAGGAGTCTTAGATTAAGGCATTTCAAAAATATAAAAATTTCAAATTTCAAAAATTCACGAATTCCAAAAAGTCCTACAGTACTTGAAAAAGTGCACAAAACCATAAATCACACATAAACTTTGTTGGGTTTTGATATTTTGGTGAAAAAGTTTCTTCTTTTCCGTTTGTCCATTATTTACGTTCCTCCTTTTTTTCTTTTTCCTCAAAAAAAAGTTCTCGCTGTGCGGAAAAACGAGGAAGTACGGACCTTTACGCGTCAAATAGGTTGATCGGAAAAGACGAGAGAAATAGTGTATAAGACGAAGAGACGCAGACAAAGAGCAAATACAAATGGGAGTGGACAGTAGAAATGAGGGCAGATACACATAAGAAAAATATAGGTAAGAGATGCTCCCGTTTTTCTGTTGTTTGAAAAAAATATGATGCAACTTTATGTGAACTTTTTTGAACTACACTCTTTCGAAATTAAAGCCGCAAAGCCTCCTCACTAACTTTTAACTTTGCGCTAATTTATCTCGGTTCCTGTCAAAGATTTGAAAAAGCTGTCAACTGATAAATTGTTTGCCATAATATTACATACATTTTATCAGTTGACACATTTTTGAAATCTTTCACAGGAACTGAGATAATTAAGCTCAAAGTTGACGGTTTGGATGGGCTTCTCATAAAGCAGGTACGGTACACTTCTTCAAAAAATAAAGTACAATAATTGAGAAAAAATCTGGAAGTGGTGGAAAATTACAAAGCCTAACTTTTTCGAAAAAGTGACAAACTGGAATATTCATTCATTCGGCAGCAAAACTTTACGATCTTTCTACAAGCCAAAATCCTGATGAAAATGTTCGGAAAACGACGGATTTTTTCGATTTGAAAACGAAAACACATACATTTATATTCAGAAGGAAAAAGAAAGAAAAAAAAGAAAATACCCACATATCTTTTGGAGAACATCTAGAAAAGAGGAAAGAAAAGAAAAATGAATGGAGGAGGAAGAAGAGATCGAACCAGTTAGCTATTATGTGTTCGAAATCCGACAAAACTGAATAGTTCCACAAATTTCTTATACTTGAATTTGAATTTTTTCGGAAAGAAGACAAGGAAATCGGATGATTGGAAAAGAATAGTTTTGAGGACCTAAAATTTTAGCTTCATTAGGTTTTTTAAAAATATGGGCTTCAAAATCAGGAATCTTGAATTTCTGAAACTTTTAAGAATTGTAGATTTCTAGAATTCTAAAATCCTAAAAACCTAGAATCCTAGAATCCTAGAATCCCAAAATCCTGAAAAGCTAAAAACCTAGAATGCTAAAATTTCCAAGTCCAAAAATTCTAGATTTCATGTTCTTAGAATCCTGGAGTCCAAAAATGGCAAAATCTAGAATTCTAGATTCCTATAGACCTAAATCTTAGAATCCGGGAAACCTGAAGTTCTCAACCTCCAAAGCTCCATCATCTTGGAATCCTAGAGTCTTGAAATCCTAGAATCCGGAAATTTCAAAGTCCTAGAATCCGAGAGTCCTAGAATTTCAAAACTTTAGAAAGCTGGAATTCTAAAATCTGAGAATCCCAGAATCCTGAAGTCCCAGAATACCAGGATCCCAAAACCCTATAAACCTAGAATCCTAAAATATTAAAACTCTGGAATCATGTAATCCTGAAATCCCAGGATCCTAAAGACCCAGAAACCTAGAAACCTAGAAACAAAAATCTACACTAGTTTCTTAAAATCCCAAACCCCTAGAATCCTAGAAGTCCAAATTCCTAAAATTCTAAAATTTTGGAATCCTAACATCATGGAATCCTGGAATCCTAGAATTTAATAATTTAAATTGCGTTGAAGGCGCACCAGCCAGCTGTTTGAAGCGCCCGAGGCGCGGCAAACAGGCTGGTCGTTTCTAAAATTTATAGCCGAATCCTAAGATTTTTCGACTTTCTACAGTATTCAAATTACGACAAAGCGTCAAAACTTTTTTCCCCTCTTTTCCTTCCCTTCCCCTCCTCGTCATTTTTTCTCTGACTTTTCAAAGAAATTCATGTCGATCGGATGAATGGATATGACCATTCGGCTTCGTTTTTTTTCCGAACGCCCAACCGTTATTAGTTCGAAACGTGATATTATTATTATTGTTATTATATTGGGAAAAGGAAAAAAGGAAAAGAGAGATGCAGGAAAAACGGAGAAACGGGGATTACTGTATTTTTACAGAGAGAATGAATAGACTGGATGTGGACTGGAAGAAGAGGGGAAGAAGCTATAAATGAATTTAATGAGGGAGAGGTGACGTGGCATGTTTACAGTTATGACGACATAGATATATTTAACATTCTTGGATTACGATCTGAGAATAAAAAGATAGAGGCGATTGGAAGGGGTAGAAAAAAAGTTGTTTTCGAAATATTAGAAAATGAAAATTCGATGTTTGAAAATCTGAAAGAAGGGATGAGGGACTTGGTATGCTGGAATCTAATTATTCAGGGTCTTCTTCAAAGTTCTGCAATTTTGAATCAATATTCTAAAATGTTGAATCAGGATTCTGAAATCTTGAATCAAGAGCTTAACATTTTGAATCAATATTCTGAAAATTTGAATCAAGAGGCTAACATTTTTCTACTTTTTTTTAAATCTTCGCAAAAAATACGAGAGACCTCTTTTTTTTCTTCAAAAAACACTGGCACGGCCGTCCGTCTTGATAATGACCTCAATTCGAATCGCGCCTTCTCTGGTGGTCAAAAAGAATGAAAAGAGACTGTCGAAATGTTCATGAAAATTCGAGACAGTATATAAGACGAAGAGACGCAGACACACATCGAAAGGGGCCGTCAAAAATTCGCTTTTTTTTTCAACTGTGCGCTGCGAGGAAGAAGGGGCACCGCCGGGCACACAAGGGCATCATTTCAAACGGTTTGCGGACGGACGAACGAAAAAAAAACAGACAGCGTCCCTCTGCTGTTGAATTGAAATTGGAAAAGCGAAGGTCTTCTTTTTTTCATACGGAGGAACGGCCGAATAAATTTAATTATATATCTAGATGGACGATTGTGAAAAATCGGGGAAAAAAGTTTCCAAGGTTACGGTAGCTGACGAAAATTTTTTTGGAGAAGCTGAGAGATCAGACAGATTTTTTGGGTGTTAATAAAAATTTTGTGCCACCCAAACCGTCAACTTTGACCCCATGCATCTCGGTTCCTGTGAAAGATATTAAAAACAAGTCAACTAGTAAACTGCTTTCGATATAATGATAAACAATTTATCAGTTGAGAACTTGTTGATATCTTTCACAGGAATAGAGATTATTGAGCTCAAAGTTAGCGGTTCTTCTGGACTTATATTAAAGGAAATACGGTACTTATAACTCCGAGAATTATCGTAAAAAATTAAGAACTTTAAGAAATCCTAAATTTAAAACGAATTGAGATTGCACAGAAAAAGATTTGGAGCCTCTAAAAAATTTAAATAGAATCAACTATCAAAAACTATAAAAATTTCAGAATCTTGAATTTCGAAAACTTCCATAAAATCTGTAATAGAAAAGGCGCCTAACTTTTAACATCAAACCAATTTATCACGGTTTTTGTGAGGGATAACAAAAAGTTGTCAACTGATAAATTGTTTATCATAATATCAGCGATATTTTATTCGATGCCAAAATTTTGATATCTTTCACAGGAACCGATATAATTGAGCTCCAGCATGATAGCGTGGGGGAGCTGCTATTACAGATTTTACGATATTTTCAAAAAAAAACTTGAAAACTCGAGGTATGATATGTAATTAGAAATCCGAAAATTCTCGGATTTTGAAAGTAGAACAAATAGACCATTTTGAGGACAACCGGACACAAATTTTAAGGCGAAAGGCATCGTCGTCCTTGATGGATGGAATTCCGTGAAATGAAATTGGCATCGTCAAAACCAATTTGAAGGTCCTTCTCATCATTTATAATGGTTTTTTTTTTTTGAGAGTAAAAAACTCACCAGGTCGGTGGAATTTTTGACATGAGGTGACATGGAATTTCGAAAAAGTTAGAGTGACAGAGAGAATGGGATTTCGAGGATTTTGAGGAATCCATAAGACAGTAATACTTTCATTGGCGTTCCAAAAAAGATTGGCAGGATGATAAATTAGGAGAGATTGGAAAAAAGATCAAATTGACTATTCAAAAAAATGTCTCTCACTCTCTTTTTTTTTCTCTTAAGATTTTTGATCTGGCGCAGAAGTGACAAACTCGTCAAAATACTGTCTAACCATGTTGTCGGCGTGACGGCGACAGAATGAAAAAAAAACATAAGGCAAAGAAAATATAGGCCAGCGGGACGAGGAATGTGTTGAAATTCTTTGAAAAGAATAATAAAACTTTCGATTTTGAACAAAAAAAATAGCTTTGAAATTTGTATAATTGAGGTTAGGGATAGGATTACGGTATGGGGTGTCTTAAGATATAATTTGAGTCAAAAATTCGTATTATTCTGATAAAAAAATTGGAGCTCTGGAAGAGGAATGCAGGTGGCCGAAGGTCCCACAACGACAACTACAGTAACCTAAGTATAAAATAAAAAGAAAATGGAGATGAAAATCCTGAAAACTGAAATATATTAGGTTACGGTAGTTGTCGTTGTGGGACCTTCGGCGACGGCCACCGGCTTTTCTATTACACAGTTTCAATTTTTTGGTACCAGAATACTTTTTTTTCAGAGACAAAATTCAAAAACTGATGCATCAGAACAAACTCGCTTGCACTTCAAAAAAGGACATGTGCATACTGTAGACCTCAACCTTTTTCTAATAGTACACATGTTCGAAAATTCTCACTTCGTTTCTTCATTTTCTATTTGCCCTCGATTCAATTTTTAATGCTCTCTCCAGTTCATTTTCTCACTAATTAGACCGCCTCCCAAAAGATCCTCTCTCTTTTGTCGGCACTTTTATTAGAATGTCAAAGTAAAGAAAAGAAAGGATGAGTACATGACAAGGGATAAAAAAAACGAAAAAAAGGTGAAATGAACACGAAGAAGAAAAAGTATACATGAGAAAGAGAGAAGGGTTTATGAGTTCTGATTCAAAGAGGAGGACACCAGAATAATGAGTCAAAAAGAAAACTGTGCCGATTAGAAGCACCGCACACTTAGAAATTTTCAAATTTTTTGAAAGGCAAATCATCCTGTCAATTTTGAGCCCATGCATCTCAATTCCAGTAAAAAATTTCAAAAATTGGTCAACTGATAAAATTTTGCTGATATTATGATACGAATGCATTTTGACAGTTGACTACTTTATTTAATTTTAATTTAATTTGTTTATTGATCAGGTGTAATAAAACATTAGAGGGCAGGCTTTTTGATATCTTTTACAAGAAATGAGATATAGAGATTCAAAGTGGACGGTCTGAGTGGCGCTCTATTAGAGTGTTTACGATAAAAATATTATTAGGTTACGGTAGTTATCGTTGTGGGACTTTCGACCTTGGCTACCGATTTTTTCGTACCAGAATAATATTACCAAAATGAAATTATACTTTTTTAAAAATTTAAATTTCTCATTGTCAAAAAAATTTGAAGTTTTGAAAAACCTCCCAATTTCGCAAAAGAAGGGTGGAAGTTGTGAAAAATTTTACAAAAAAATAGTTTTTTCTCCTCTCAATATTTCCATTTTTTGCGCCTGCTGCCTGCCCCGTGAAAGATTGACACATTTGATTGTCCAGGCACGCATCTCAAAAAAAATGGAGACCAAGGACGATTAAAGTGGAAAATTGGGGTAGGAGAAGGGAAAGGCGGAGATCCAGAATATTTTAGTTATGAGAACAATTATTATTCTTATATTACGGTTATATTATTTTAACGAACAACAGGTGGTCTTGGGTCTCGTTGGGTTGAGCGAGCGAGAAAATTGGTTACGCAAGCATCATAATAATGCACATGGACAGACGTATTCGATGGTTTTTGTGATGGTTTGGTGGGAGGTTTTTCACGGAAGAATTGATGGACGGAAGGGTTGAGTTGGTCCGAAAATTGAGGGGAGAGTACGGGTGGTTCAAGGACGAGACATACACGGAAAAAATTGGGTGAATGGGTTATTGGGATGAGAGAAACGGAGTATGGATGACTTTGAATTATGGTGAAGAGACTTTAGAAAAAAATGTTACAAATTGATAATGACATTCTGAGATTTTGAAATTTCGAAATTCTGATATTTTCAGGTCTTGAGATTCTCCGATTTTCAGATTCTCAGATTTTCAGATTCTGAGGTTTTTGAGGTCTTGAGATCTTTGGATCTTGGCATTCTTGGATTCTGAGATAATTGGATCCAGAGATCTTCGGACCTTGAGACTCTGAGTTTCTGAGTTTCTGAGATTCAAAAATTCAGAATATCAGAAATTCGAGAGATCCAAAGATTTTGAAATTCAGAAATTCAGAGATTCTTAGATTCTGAGATGTTGAAACTCTGAATTCTGAGATTCTCCAATTTGAGATTTCGAGATTTTGAGACTTTTGGAAGAATTTTATTAGGTTGGCAGGAAAGTAACTGTCCCTTGTTTTATTTGTGAATAATACAAAAGCATGATTAATCCAAGATTAGCAGTATGCACCGACGTGGTACACGACACGTTGGCAATGTTCAGATAACTTGTGGATACAGTACCTTCAAAAGCCAGCTAGCCACGAATCAAAGTATTCATTTTTTCCTGTTTTTCACATAAATGGTGCAAATTTTCGTATTCTCTAGATGAGGTTGTATCTCTCCGAATATTCAATAATCTGATAGAGATCAGTCGGGACTATAAGTAGGTGAGGGAGAACGGTCCCACTGAAGCTGCTCAGGTCTGACTTGACTGCAGGTAAAAAATTAAAAAACCTCATGTTCACGGAAAGTCGCGCCGTACCTGAGCCGCTTTGGCTGGACGGTTCTCCTTTACCCCCCGTTAAAGACTTGATTCAGCTCTATCAGATCATTGGTTATTCAAAAGGGTACGACGTCATCTCGAGCTTAAGGACTTTAACACAATTGATGCCTGAAAAAATGGACTGGAGGGATACTTTGACTTGCCACTAGCTGACTTTTGGAAGGATGGTACCCACAAGTTACCTGAACATTGCCAACATGTTGTGGATCACGACGGTGCATATTGCTAATTCTGGACTATTCTTGTGTTTGTGTTATTTACTAATAAAAAATGGACAGTTACTTTCCTGCCAACCTAATAAATTGAGTCGAACTATTTTTTTTTAAACAAATTTAGAAAATCAGGTTATGTATAATTAGCGGCCCGGCCCGCAAAACTTTGAACAGGCCGGGCCGGGCTGCGGGCCAATTTTGCAAGTATCCCCAAAACGCTTCCCCTAGTCAAAACAAAAACTGTCATAAAGGTACAAAAAAGGTCAGAATAAATAGTGAACAAATGGTGCATTGTCTTGGTGACACCCTTGAGAGACGAAATAGTGTAACAGATGAAGGGACGCAGAAAGACGATGGACCATTCTTTTCTTTGCATTTTTTCGGGGAAGAAAAGAAGACACCACCCAAACAAAAAAAGAAGTCTCTCTCCCCTCATCGAGCGAACAAATGGTGGCTATGGGTGGTCAAAGGAGGGATACGGACGGTTTGGTGAAGAGGGGAAAATAGTGTGGATTGAGGAGAGGGATCAGACAAATCCCACCAAGCCAATGGCCAAAGAGTATATAAGACGAAGACGTGCAGAGAAAGGTCAGGCAAATATAGTGACCAGTTGGTGGGTGGGAGACGAACGGACGAACGAACACAAAAAAATGAGATGGAGGAGAGACAGACGTTTTTTTTTGGTGGCGGGGGAGAAGTAATGAGATCGGTGACGAGTTGGGAATGGTGGATTGAATAGAGAGGGGACATTTGAATAAAAAAAACGAAAGGATTTGAAATGTGGGGTACCGTATGAAAACCAGTTGAAGGAAGTGGATGGATGGATGGAACAGATGGGGAGGGAAGCTGTGGTCAAAATTTGTTGGATATGTTCGAATTTCGAAAAAAGCAAAGTTTGACTATTGAGAATGTTTGAAAGACTTTTTTCTGAGGAGCTCCGGAAAACTATAAAAAGCTCAGTATCACCTGACCAGGCCTCACAATCGCAAGAACTTGAATTCTGGACTTCTGAACTTTTTCGAATTTCGAAGAGAAACTTTTAAAACTGTCGTTGAATAAATCCTAGCTCCCATTTAGAGTACTGTAAAACCTGTAATATGAGAGCCTTCCAACTTTTAACTTTGTGCCAATTTTTCTCTGTTCCTATAAAAGAAAAATTGTAAACCGATAAACTGTCCATATCACTAACATTTTATCAGTTGACAAATTTTCAACATCTCTCTTAGGAACCGAGAAAAATTGAGCTCAAAGGGACCGTATAGACTGGGCTTCTATTCGAGCAAATACGGTAAATATATGTTCAAGTTTCAGAAATTTGAGGTACTACAAAAGTTGTTCACAACTATTCCATTATTTTGAAAGCTTCAAAATATACTAAACAGAAATAGATCTTCAATTTTGTAGTGAACAATTTGTATAGCTATTACGGTTTTTGAGATATGTCCGTTTAAAAATGGAAAGCCAGGAGGGCGGTGCCCCTGTGCTCTGCCAGCTTTAGAGACGCATATCTCATGAATCGTAATAGCTAAAAACTTTGAACTCCAAAAATGAAGCTATATTCTTGCTTCACATAATTCATTTAGTTCAGAGTAACTGAGTCATTTGATTATAGTTTTGTAGAGTGGTAAATGCTCTAATAGGATGTCCACCAACTTTGAGCTCAATTATCTCGGTTCCTATGAGAGATATCAAAAAGCGGTCAACTGACAAAATATTGTTGATAATAAGATAAACATTTTATCAAATGGCACATTTTTGATATCTTTTACAGGAACCAAGATAAATTGCATCAAAGTGGAAAGTGAGGAGGGTCATTATATTTGAGTGTTTAGAGTATGTTTCAGAGAAGTTCTCATGCTTTTTCTAAAACGTTTTGCAACATCTCCTGACATGAAGATTGGATTTTTAACTTTTGAATTTCCACTTTTCTCCTAACTCGAATCCTCATGAAATCATTTTTTAGTGATGCTTTTTAACCCATAAACCACATTTTTAGGATTCTCGTCCTATTCTTTCTTTTTTTTTTCCTTTTCTCCTGCATGAATTCCCGTACTCATAGTAAAATCTTTATGTTTTTGTGACCAATAGTCCCCTTCCTTCTCCTCTTTTCCACCGTAAAATGAATGCAATTATTGGTCAGAGGTGTCCTAGATTTGTCCGTCCGTGCGCAGGCAAAACCCATAAATCCAATTTTTGTATAATTCAAATTGGTATCTCTCTGTCTCTCTTGCCCTTACAAACACTGGAATTATTCAAATATGAAGGTCATATTTCCACAGGAATCACATTGAATAAGACAACTGGAAGATCCACGTGGATCCAAGGAGCAGCCATATCCTCGTAGCGTGGAGATAACATTTTCCACAGCTGTACTTCCTAATAAATGGCGCCTCCGTATCCGACTGGAGACTCTCGAAGTTTCAGTGAATTCATTGTAATTAAAATTTGTTAAAACTGCATTTTTCGACCTAAAAATTCCAGAAAATGACCAGCATTATGACTGGCGTTGAGTTGACTATTTTCTTCGCTTCTCTCGCTTTTTATCACTTTTGTATTTTCCGAAAAAAGTTGAGCAAAGAAATTGAGAGAATGGTAGAATAACCCGTTAGAATTAGGTTACTGTAGTTTGTGTTACAGAGACTCGAAGCAGAGAAGCTCGAGAGAATCACAAAAGGAGTTCCAGAGCCAGAAGAACTTCTTTCACCGGTATTCCAAATTCTCTAAGCTTAAGACTCAAGCTTGAACTTTTAGACCCAAAAGAGTAGTATTCTGGAGGCGGAGCCTACGCAACTGTCAGAAAAAGAAGAGCCGAAACAGAAAAAGAAGCCATTAAAGAAGACGAAAAGTGTAGAGAAAAAGAAGGAGAAGGAGAAAAAAGAGAAAAAGAAAGAGAATAAAAAGAAGACACTCAGAAAAACAAGCAATTTGAGATTAAGTTTGGAAGATACACAAAGAGATGATTATGATACAGGACCGCCGGGAGGAGCGCATATACCGTAAGACTTTTAGATTTCAGCAAAAAATCGGCTCCGCGTCACTTCGAAACCGGTCATTTCGAAACCGTGGTAAGACAGGTGAATAGATAAATTTCAGACTATAAAAATAATTTCAGGGTTTTCCATGATGCTTTTTTTTCTGATAGAACACATTCTGAAAATCGAAGAATTCAAGATATTTTCTTTTTTTTTGAGAAAATTAAATTTTGGATTTTTTCAATTTTCAGAATGTGTTCTATCAGAAAAAGCATATTTGAAAACCCTGAAACTGTTTTTGTAGTGTGAAATGTATCCATTGGCCTGCATTGCCATTTTGAAACTGTTTCGAAATGGCTGGTTTCGAAGTGACGCGGAGCCAAAAAGTCGCATCAAGTGCTTTCAGACCATTCAACCCATTACTAGTCTCTCCACCCACTCAGGAATCCTATTACGATAATTCTTCCTTGGTAAGAAATTATTCCCAGAATTTAAAATTATTTTTCTATTTAAGCGCCAAGAAAGATCCCCCACAAAAGTGGTTTCGGAAACAGATCAGCCTAGAACATGCTCCCCAGCCAATGAGAAGTCTGTGTACAGTCCGAAATTACATCCAACCCAAGAGAAATCATTGGAATCACACGTTGACGATGCAGATATGAGGACTGCTCGAGAGGATTTATGGAATTGAACAAAACAGAGAATTTGAATGGAAAAAGTTAACAAAAGTGTACAAAAGTAACAAATAAACGATTTTTTTCAATTATTAGCTGTTCGATTGATCTTTCCGCTGTTCGTCTGAGAAAATTCGAGTTGGCCCGCAGTTTCCGCAGATATCCTTGATCGCTCCCAGAATTTGAATTCGAGTTTCTGAAAATTAGACTAATGCTTTCTAAAAAACGATTAGAAGGGACTTACCAGTAGTTGTGCACTGTTTGAGCGCAGAATGCAATTCATCTTGCCTAATCTTGATTAATCGTTTTTCACAAGATCGCATGCTCCGACCTGAAACATTATGACTGTTGCGTAGGCTACAGTAATCCCCATTGAATCCTCACCAATAAAAATGGTCTGCAGTACCATTGGTTGCTTGTCAATCTTGTGAACACAGGGAAGAATCGCTCCGAAGTACTTGTTTCCGCCTTCAGCCACTCGTAGAACTATAACATCTTCATCGAGAACTCGTACCTGCAATTTTCCACTTTTAAATCTATAAATTGATTCAAAAATTAACTGAAAGGCTCATTTTAAGAATGGAATATCCAAAATCGCCGAACATTTCTGCGGCGAGTTTCATTAATTCTCTAAAGATGAGTGGTTTGTGAGGAGTTGGTTGAGAGCCGTCGTTGGTGATCATTCGAATCACATAGTATCGATTTTTGATTTTCACCATTTTCTGATCTGAAAAATTGAGGGTTTACTGACTTACATTGAGAGAAACAAGTGGAAAAAATATCGATACAAAACTGATTAAACAGAATATCCTCCAGAAAACCAAAATTTTAAAAAACGATTTATTGAAACGAAACAAATAAATAACCTAATATGAAATCTGAACTATCAACATTGACAATGCCTATACCATCTTGGAAAAGCGAGAGTGTCTTTAATATTCTGAATTCCTAGCATATACTGTAGAAGTCGTTCGAAGCCGATTCCGAAACCAGCAGTCGGTGGTTGTCCTCGTCGTCGTGTATCCAGATACCATTCGATTCCACATCCTCGAGATTTCAACTTCTCCGCATCTGGTTCTCGAACAGATCCACCAGCCAACTCTCCAACTCCAGGAACTAAAAGATCAAACGACAAAGTACTCGTCTCATCTTTCGTTCTTGCCATGTAAAACGGTTTTTGATTTGTTGGATAATGAGTTACAAACACTGGAAGATTGTTGTGATACTTCACAAGATCCAGCTCATTTTTCTTCGACAATCCACTTTTGGCTGTCACTTTTGAACCTTTCGAGGTGAGAAGTTTTACGGCATCATCATAGGTAATTCTAGAAAATTTGGAATTCGTTGGAACTGGAGACGTCGGTTCAGATCCAACTATTTTGAGTTCTGTTTGAAATTTAGGAGAATCAAGCAAGGAAAACATGTGCTGGACGTAGGATTCTACAAGTTCACACATCTCGTCGATCGTCTGAAAATAAATCTTTCTGAAAATTCCCCTGAAAAGGAGATCGAAGAAGATACCTCAACGAATGCAACTTCTGCTTCTAGCATATGAAATTCACTAAGATGTGCATGACTTTGTTGTTTTTCAGCTCGAAATGCGGGTCCTAATGTGTACACTCGTTGTAGACGACTGAAAATTTTTCGATTTATAATCAGTAAAAAATAGATTCTTACCTGACCAAAGCTTCCAAATGTAGTTGAGAGCTCACTGAAAGATAAATCGGATCTTCCTTAACACCTTCTGATCCATTCAGAGCTTCTGATGAAGTAGTAACCACATCGAAAACCTCTCCACCTCCTTCACAATCATTTCGAGTTAGTTTTGGAGTATCGATGTGGATGAAATCACGAGACATGAAAAACTCATGAGTCTCGCGGAAGATTGTGGATCGAAGGCGAAGAAATGCTGCGAATTGTACGTTTCTGGCTCGAAGATGTGTCTTTTTTCGAAGGTTGTCCGCGGATAGATCATCGTAACGAGCCTGAAATTTTTTCTTATTGAACTTATGGCAATTTTGAAAAATAAATACATTTTCATCCTGTCCAACGACTCTCAACTCGCTTGCTACAAACTCCGTTTCCTGTTGGGATCCTAAGCTTTTTTCTAGACTGCCGACAGCTCGAATAGCACTTCCAACCTTCACTGCAAACTAACTTTACTAATGTTCAGAAATTATCATAAACCTCTAATAGAAGGGCCCCCTAACTCATAACTTTGAGCTCATTTATCTCGTTTCCTGTGAAAGATACCAAGAAGTAGTCAACTGATAAAGTATTTGTCATAAAATCACTAGCATTTTATCAGTTGACACATTTTCGATAACTTTTACAGGAATCGAGATAATTGAGATCAAGTTAAAAAGTAAGGGGCCCTTCTATTACAGGTTTCACAGTATTCCCTTTTTGAAACCTTTATTTGCGATCTCTTTGCTGGCTACTAGTTGAATTAGACTGTTTGTTCTTCCATCATCCACTTTTACGAATACACTCTTCCCACTTTTTTGTACACTTTTTGCCCAACCATCCAGCCTTTTCGTTGAGAATCCACGAATCGAAAATCCAAAAATATGTCGCATTTTATAGGCGGAGGATCTGAAATTGAACACAATCTTTTTTTCTTTCTTCTTCTATCTAAATCTTTTCTTCTATCTGATGTCTCAAGGAAGCCGTGCGAGTGACATCTTCTCGTTTGCACTATTGCATGCTCACACACACTATTTTCGAAAAGGGTTGTCTTGCGCAATCATCGTCGTTGCCCCCGAGATTGACATGCGAGAAAAAGGCGATGAAAAAAAAGAGAAAGAAAAAGGAGAAGATTCACAACTCTTCTTCTTTTCTATGTCTAGGATCATGGAAGAGATTGGGGCGCTGGCTCTGTCCTCAAAAACCAAAAATCTGGATTTGGCTCTATTTGAAAATAGATACAAATTAGAATAGGATGAATTCTATCTAGCTAACCTCCTAACAGTTTAACTCTCAAACTTATTCTCAAATCTTCCGCCTGATTCCCCCACATTTTGACCTCATACCTCCCCCCTGATTTGATAAGAAATACTACCTATTCTGATTTCGTAATCTCCTTCTTCTACGAAAAAATACAGTCTTTAGTTCTTCTGTGTCGCGTGCTTTTCCTCCATTTTTTCTCTCCGGTGCCCTCTAAATTATGATGAAACAAGTTAAAGAGTGTATTTCTGTGTGTGCTCTAAAGGTGGGCAAACAAAGCCCCTCGGCTCATCGAGCTACTACTTCCACAGGCTTCCGATTTTTTGCCTCGTAAAATACATATTGCTCTTTTTCTCGAACTCTTTGGATCTTGGACTTTTTCGTGTGAACTTAGGTTGTTTAGGTGCCAATATTCGCTGTTTTATCTCTTTCAGCTCTGACCGAAAGTCCGTTTCCTAGTCATGCCCTCCACTAGGATCACACGTATCGACTGGGAGTGTCAAATTTCAGCGTCGGAAAAATAGGGAAAAGGAGGAGAAGCCAGAATTTTTATTTAGATGTGCGCGAGAGTACATACATGCCATATGTTCTTCTTTCTTTTTTGCTTGTACTGGAGTTGACTCTGCTAAACTCAAAAAGAAAAGGAGAAGAACATGCCTAGAGAGATTTCCTGGCAATCAGACGAGTCGAGAAGAGAGGGTTCTCTCTTTTTTTTTCTTGACTTTTTTCTTTGTTTCCACTGCTTACAAATCGTTAAACTTTTCTTTCTTTTTGAACTGATAGCAAAGGATTAGAACTTGTAAAATTTCAGAACTCTTTTTTTTTTTGTTTATTGTTTTTTAATTATTATTCTGGTACAAAAAAAACAGAGCTGCGGAAGAGAAATGCTGGTGGTCGTGGGCCAAGGTCTCACAACGAAAACTACAGTAACCTAAAAATTTGTATGTTTTCCAAATTTATGTTCTCAACTTCCGTGGGAAAACGAGAGAATAAATACGAAAAACAAAATATTTTTAGGTTACTGTAGTTGTCGTTGTAGAACCTTCGGCCACGGCCAGCACCATTTCTCTTCCACATCTCCAATTTTTGGACCGGAATAATAGCTATGACTAACCTATTTTCTTCCAGCTTCTCTCCGCTTATTCATATCTCGTTACTATTTTTCTCAGCCTTCTGATTGTCTAGTTTTGTTCCCTCTCTCTCTCTCTCCTTACTGTCAATTTCTGAGTCATATCACAAAAAATGTCTTTAGCTCTTCAGATTCCACAGTTCTTCTCTGTTTCTCTACGTCTCTCATCTGATCATACCCCTCTATTCCATTTCACTGACAGAAACACCGCGCCCTGCAATCAGAGAAAAATGTCTGTCTTTTGTAATGATAGTGTGAAATATAGAAAACGAAAAAAAAGATGGAGAAAGAAGGTCACATTACTATCACCCTCTCTCGCCCTCTATTTCCCTCTCCTACACCTTGTTTCCGTTATGTTCGGTTTTTGAAATGATTGATATTGATTTACGCGCTTGTATACCGATCTAGATTTTCAGATGGGTAAGGACTACAAGTACGGTGGTGGCTATCGTCCATATGGGTATGCTCCGGCTCCTGCGGCTCCATCAATGGAGATCACCATAAACCAGGTACCATTAAGTTTTAGATTCTGAGATTATCAGTTGATTTCAGAACCAAGGATCTTCTTCTTCTTCCTCCCTGCCCCGCTATGGTAACGCTTCTGCTTCATCTCTCCCACGACGTTGTGCCCCTCCATCCGCTCCACCACCGCCACCTCCAGAATATTGTGTTCCAGATCAACCTGGCTTCAATCCTATGTGGTTCGATCGATTCCCAAGAAGAGAAAATCGAGGAATGTTCAGATTGTGTCTTGTCGAGCTCATGCTAGCTGGTGGGTCTATTTTTTTTTAAATTAAAAAAAATAATCACATTTCAGTGGTGATTCTTGGTGGCGGTATATGGTGCTATCGTGATACTTCGGATTACTGTCCGTACTACTCTGCGATCTGGACTTCTGCTATTTACGTGATCAATGCGATCGTAGGCTCAGTTGCCGCCAAAGTTGGAGCTCTCAACTTGTACATGGCTCATTTGACACTTTCGTTGGTTTCTGTCATGATGTGCCTAATCAGTGGAGGTCTGTCAGCTAGAAATTGGGCTCTTGTTGGCACTTATCATCATCCGAGAATCGATCGTGATGAGGCATTCTGTCTGTTGGGAACCCATGATACCAGCAGGTAAGATTGACAATAAATTTTGAATACTGATTTTTCAGAATTTCGTACATTTTCTCCCACATGGACAAGTACGATTTTGCCAAGTGTCTCTGGCAATTGAAGGTTGGAGTCGCTGTAAACTCTGTGCAATTCGTAATTGCTGCTATCGAAGGTAAAATTATCCTTATTATCTTCCTCAAACTAATTTCAATATTTTCAGTGTTTCTCAACATTCTGTCAGCGATTCTGTGCATGAAGAGAACCTGCACATCATTTTCTTAAATCTCAACCATTTCACAAATTTCAGCGCATAAATTTTACGGTTTCTCTGCTTTTTCTACTCCTACTTTGCCATATATCCTACGCATTATCACATTATTAACCCGCATTCTAGTTGTATTTATGTGCAAGTTTCACTTTTTTTCGGTCTAAATATCTCATAGACCCGTTTTCTTGTCTCTTTCAGGGCTTTATTTTTGTTTTTTTTTCAATGTAAAAATCTACTCACCGATTTAGCTTTTTCGTTGCTCCTGCTGTCTGAAATAAAGTCTGTCTTGATTTCCAAAACACTGATCCAAACAAAAATAGGAAAAATCTACCAAATTGCTTAATAAAAAATGGTCATGGAATTTTTATAATTTATTTAAAAATCAATCATCACAACAACAATAAAATTGAAAGCAACAAAATTGAATAGAAACTAAATTCTAGAATTTGAAAAAAAAACGAAATTTATTGCTGAGCAATCTTCTGAAGAGCTGCTTCGTCTCCTTGTGACATGCTTGTCAATCGTTTTCCCAGCTTCTCGTGGACATCAAGATACTTGGCAACGCATCGATCCAGGCATACTGCTTCTCCCTTGGTCAATTCGGACTCCTTGAATGCGGTAGCGATGCATTTGGCCTGGCAGGCGTTGGTCATTCGGCGGTACATATCTGACATCATTTCTACCTGGAAAAGAACTATGAAAAATCAATATAATTTTATTAAAAGTACCTCTAACTCCGCAACCTGGGCCATTTGTGCGTCGGTCGCCATTTTTGAAGACTTCTGAACACATTGAAGATGATAAAATGAACATAATTTACACTAGGCAACAGTAATGAATGGAATTTAAACCATAATTTTAGAACAAATTTAGATTGAAGAAATAGCAAAATTTTATATTTACATTCAATTTACAAAATATGCGAAAAATCTAAATTTATATCCCATTTCATATCACATGCAGCCATCGCAGGTGTAGAAGGAGAAGTTGGTGTGACTGTCGAACGTGAAAAGGAAGAATTTTAGATTGAACCCCAAAAGGATAGTGTCTTATCAAAAATAAACCTATCTTATTCTCTGGACTTTTGGTCCGTAGTAAGCCATTGCGTAGTCAGTTCCATCGGCCGGACCAAGCAATTGAAGACTGATGAGAATTATGTCGACAACCCAGAAAACGACTAGGCCACCCAAAGAGAACATCTTCACGAAACCTGAAAAGAAAAACTCAGCGAAGGACTCGCAGAACAGTAATTTACCGAGAGCGTAATACCCGAGATAGATGCGGTCGATTCCGAAGAAGCCAAGGAAAATTGATAGAAGTAGTGCCGTTGTGTAGTTTACATGGGCTCCGTAGTGGCAAGCATCGGGAACCTGAAGCTATTGTTTCAAAATGTGAAATTCTTATTCGATGCTTACCGTTTTATTGAATACTCCGAATTGGTTATCCTTTCCGATACATTTTACATGTTCTGCTGTCTCGCACATCACTGGAAACTTTATTTCATTTAATTTTGAGTGTTTTTCCTTTCCCTTACCTTGAACAGAATTATCTGCAGAGCATGTGATTGACTGCTGAGTTATTGGATCCACAGCATAGTTCTTGCATAAATATCTGAACAACTTTATAGTGTTGCTAATATTTAACTGATGAAAATAAGACTCACTGTGTTGGGTCTAAATCCGTGCACCTTACGGTTGCATCACTTGATGAGAGCGAAATCAGCGACAGTGACACAAGTAGCTGGAAAATGTCAGGTCCCATCGCATTTCCGAAAGCGGCCAGACTGAAAAATTTGCTAGATTTTTCTTTACAGGCACGGTCTCCCCAGCTCCCAAAATGAACTGCAAGCCTTTTTCTCAGCGGAGCGCGGTTTCGCGCGGCGAAAATTTTTTTTTGAAAAATTTTGCACTGAAAAGCCGGTTTTTAGCGAAATTTTCTCATTTTTCGACAATTTTTTCAATTTTTCGTCCATGGAAATTGTTAAACAGGCTAAAACACACATTTTAAGTACAAAATCAGCTAGTTCCGACAAAAAATAAAAGAGGAGATCGACTTTGAAGCAATTTTCGAAAAATTGGGGTATCTTTTCTCACCGTCAGAGATTTTAATCGAATAATAGCTTGAAACACTCAAAAATAGATTCTTTACAATAATTTGACAAAAGAAATTATTAAAACACCGAACAATTTGAGAAATTTTCGGTTTTCGAAAATTGCTTCAAAGTCGATCTCCTCTTTCATTTTTTGTCGGAACTAGCTGCTTTTGCACTTAAAATGCGTGTTTTAGCCTGTTTAATTTCTATGAACGAAAAATTGAAACAATTGTCGAAAAATGAGAAAATTTCGCTAAAAACCGGCTTTTCAGTGTAAAATTTTTTTTAAAAAAATTGTCGCCGCGCGCAACCGCGCTCCGCTGAGAAAAAGGCTTGCAGTTCATTTTGGGAGCTGGGGAGACCGTGACAGGGAATATTATGGTGAAAGTATTTATGAAAGTATTTACTATAGGAAATCATTGAGAATTTAGTGAAGGAAGCGCGCTCGGCTGACATGCTTTATAGACACAGAGACGCAGAAAAAGGGACTGGAGGAATGGGAGTTATGGACATTCAGAAGAAAATAATTGGACCACTAGGAAGAAAGGATTCATATTGTTGAATTTAAAAAAAGTGACACCTAAGAATTTGAAAACTTTTGCTTTTTTTGATCTACGAATAAGTGCGGCAAAAACGTAATATTTCAGAATTTCGGCTCGTTCGAGCTACTTTCACGTTTAAGTTTAGTTTTTTGCGGAAAAATAGATTCTAGAGCTGCTGGCGGTATTTTTATATCAAGAAATCAAAATTTTGTTCAGAAAATCCCACTGAATTCACATAAATAAATTTGTTATCTACAGTATCCGTTTTCGCTCCGCCCCCTCGTAAATCGACACGAGAACCGTCTCCGAGATTTTCAGGTGTCACTTTTTTAAATCCGACAATAGGAAAAAATAAAAATGAAGAGAATAATATAGGTTTAAGAGTAGCTATGAATCTCAAGACTATCTATGAGTGAACCTTCTCCAAAATATTTCAGAAACTAGGTGACACGGAAACGTGAAAAATCGTTGGATGTCTGGGAACTTTTTTCTAAGTCGACAGTAGTTGGAAAGTTGAAAAACTATTTATTTTTCAACTTCGAGATGAGCAGTGATGAGCTACGCGATTCTCGTGGAATGCCACAAGTGAGGACTGCTGATCTCGTTTCTCATGAAACCTTAAATTCAGCCTGGATTCATTATCGAACATCAGAGCAGTGACCATAAGTGGAAAGTATTGCGTAATATCTACTCTGGACCATTTTCTGATGTCTATGTCGTTGCCGATGTTTGTTAACAAGCACAGAAATATCGACATTTTGAAAAATTTAGGTGGCAACGAATGAAAAGTACGCTATGAAATGCGAACGACAAGAAGGAAACTCGCGTCCTGTTTTGAAGCTTGATGTTTTAGTTTTGATGGCGACCAAAGGGCTAAAAGGGTTTCCAAAATTCGTGGCTGCTGGAAGAACTGATGTCTACAGGTCCCGATGGAATTCCAAAAACATTTTTTGTCGAAATTCTTGTTTAGGTACTGTATCATGCAGCTAGTCGGTCCAGATCTTGGACGACTGCGTAGAACTCGTCCTGAAAGACGTTTTTCCATTGCCACCGCACTTCAAATTTTGGGGCAAACATTGAGACGTCTGGAAGATCTTCACAACTGTGGATGGTTGTGTCGCGACGTCAAAGCACCAAATTTTTGCATTGGTATCGGGGAGCACGAGTCAACTGTCTATATTCTTGACTTTGGATTCGCTAGAAAATTTGTGTAGGCAGACATGGGAGAGTTTTCGGATATCAAAATTGAAGTTTAGGGACAAAGAAGGGAAAATCATACCACCCAGAAGCGCAGCTGCTCTCATGGGAACCTTCCAATACTGTGCAGTATCCGCTCATTCTCACAAGGATCAATGTGCTCGGGACGACTTGGAAAGTTGGTTTTATATGGCTGTAGAGCTACTGAAAGGACCTCTCCCATGGGCGAGTATCGATGGCCACAAAAATCATAAACTGATTGGTGACGCCAAAGTGGAAATTAGAACGGAACCTGCGCGATCACAGTTCTTTGAAGGCGTGCCCAAACAATTTAACGAAATTCTCACTATTCTGGATGCAACATCTTTCTATGACCGTCCCGACTACAAACGGTTGAGTGATCTACTTGCGGAGGCCGCTGCCGAAAATAAAGTGACATTGAAAGAGCCGCTGGATTGGCAAAACAACGAAAGGATGCAACAAAAAGCAATATTTGTTGGGGAACTCGGAGAATCTCATCAGGCTTCAGCAAAGTTAGATGCTAAAGACAATCCGAACGAATCGATGGATATCGAATTCGATGAACTGCCGTAAGAGATTTGAACTGATTTCTAGTTTTGATTTTACCCATTTACAGGGCGAAGGATCTTTCTAAATCACACAGCGGAGAGAAGTGTGACTCTAGTGAGTATTATTTCGAAAAATATAATCATTATTTTTTCTTTACAGACGAAACCAAAAGCACAAATTCAGGAGCAAGGAAGAAACAGAAAAATTAGTTGATCTTTTCATCAAAGAGATTGAATAAACGAGTTATAATTAGTTTTAATATGAAGCAGAATAAAGAGAAATTTGACAAAATTGAAGAACACATGAAAAATTTCAAAAACAATTGAAAAAAAATTGAGGCTCAATAATTGAAACACGCCCGTTCGTGTCGAGACCCACTATTAGTCACAACACTGCGCCTCTAAACTAACTACGGTAGCTTGGGAAAATTTTCCGATAATTATCATCTCTTCCTCGCGCCATTTGTCGTCATTTTGATAAAATATTCAAGATTTTATAAACAAAAATAGAGGTGATACAACATTTTTTAAAAACTGACAAAACTTAAGCTCCCAAAAAGCAAAATTTAACTTTTCTAACATTTTGCTCGTTCGTGTCGAAGCCAACTATTGAGCATAACTTTTGCGCCTTTAAACTGACTACGGTAGCTCTGGAAACATTTTCCGATACTTTTTCCCTTCTTTTCTTCGAGTCTTTTTTTGAAATATTTTCGAATCTCCATAAGATATTCAAGATGTCATACGAAAGGCCAGCGTCGTTCAAAATAAGCTTATCGAAAACGATGGAAGTTTTGAGTATCTCTGATGATGTATGTCATCTTCATCAGCTTTTTTTCCATAATATCCTCATTGCAGAAACTCAAGAACAAACGCCGCACTCTTTTGGAAAACGAGAAGTTCAAACTGAAAGTTCTGTTCAATGAAACCCCTGGACACACTAAAAGTAAGTACTTTCCTTTACTTTTTGTTTTTGAATCATTTCGTTTTAGTTCTTTATACCGTCGCTAACGGACGTAATATAGAGGCAACACTCGAAAAGCTCAAGAGAGAGGTGATGGATATTCACTTTGCTGGTGCCAATGAAGTTGGTCTTTTTTTATCAAAGCAATTTTTCAAAGATCATTTTTTAGCCTCGGAGACTTTTCAACAATCCTGTGCTTATGTATTCTGATTGCATTGGAGATCGATATGTGTCCGAAATTAGGTTCAAAACTAAATTAGACGGTTGCAAAGCAGTTGACGTTCAGTTGATTCTCAAGGAAAAACCAAGTGAGTCATATTAAGACTGTTTTAGTGCCATAATTGTCGTTTAGAACCGATAGTGTTTCCAAATGTTTCAAGACAAAAGTACATTCAATTGAGAGTTTGCAAAAACATTCCGGCTTCGACGAAATTAAAGGAGTCTTTCGAGTGAGTGCACCTATTGAGATAATTATCTTTATTCTCATCATATTTTCAGCCAATGGATGAGCAAAGGAGGACTTATGATCAACTTCATCACTGAGTCTCTCTGGCCTGCTATCAAAGTTGCAAACAAACAAGAAAGCCAAAGAAAACCTAAAAAAGAGCACGATCATCAAAATTCAGTCCACATCCTCCCGCTAATTCCTCGAGCTTTCTCTGGCAGTGACCGTGGCCCAGGAAGAAAATTTGAAATCCGAAGAGATGATCGTGATAACCAACGAGATCATCGACTGCCGAACAGAAGACAACATGAGAATGGAATGATGGATAAGGGAGCACACATCCCCCGCCATAAGCCACAACAATCGAATCAGCCGAGAATGCTAAGAGGAGGCGCATTTCAATCGGGGCCTTTCGAGTTCTTGGGATTAAGAAATCAATGCGTTGCCCAGCAGACGGTCGGAGGAAGTTTTGGAGCTCCTAAAACAGATTTCCTTGCAATGCACTATAGTGGTTCACGAGAGAATCGCTCAGATATGGACAGAGAACATGACAGACGAGGAAGAGGAAGATCTCGTGGACCGGGTGGACGTGGAATTGATAAGGTTGACTGGCGCAAACGTTCCCAACCTCAGTAGGCAGGTGCTCGTGGTTACCTCCATTTGGCAGTGTGATGCCTTTTAACTTTCTTGTAATTCTCGTTTTCACTGTTCTATTCGTTCTCGCCTCCTAGTTTTATTCCCCCACCAGGTTTTATTGAAATTTTTGAAAATCAATGACTTGTTATTAAGCTCGAACCGAATGCGAGCAGTTCAATAAAAACATTTTTTATTTAAAAAAACTAGGAGCAAAGTAAAAACACAAACCCGAAAAATACTACTGAAACTAAAGAAATCAAATAAACAGCCATGTACAGGTGCCAGGGAAATCAGCTTCCAGTTTGCTGAATTGTTCTGTGGCCCATGTCATTCGGTTCTCATCCGGGAACATTCCAAGGCTATGGTGCAGAATTGTGAGCTCGGTGAGAATCAGTTTCTCCATGGCTGGCCACCTGTTGTTCACAATTTGTAATTTGCATTTTCTCAAAAAATCGCGAGGATCTTCTCCTTGCATTCGGAGACACCGGGCCATTGATACGTAATAAATGGCCTTCTCGATGTAGGTTCCAAAACTCTCCACTCGATCAATAAGAGAAGCCAGAATCTGAAAATAACAGTATAATTAGTAACAGCGCGATTTGTAAAACCTGATAAGCTTCTTCAGGCATGCATCTTGTTAGCAACATGCTTCCGATTCGTCTCGTCACCAGGAAATTCGCATCTTGAAAGTGTGCGTTGATAGCGATTTTTCCTGCCTCTTCCAAGTGATATTCGGATGCTTCGTACCGCCCGTATGCGGTTCCGATCGTCGCAAGCTGCATTTGAACTCTCATCATTCCACGAACATCTTCACACTTGTATTCCTTGAGCAGTAAAACTGCTTCTGACAGTTTTCCAGTGACAGCAAGGAGAATAGATTTCCGTAATACGAATTCAAGAGGAGCAAGTGAAGAAAGGACTTGAACATGTTCGAAACATGCAGAATATTGGTTTAGAAGAAAGTCCTTTTCAAAATTAATAATGCTGGAGCAGATTGTAATGTGACGGGAGCATAACCAGTTGAGGTGTTCTGGGAATACAAGCTTCAAAGATGATATAGTATCAAATGCAGTTTCATAGTCACCGATTGAAGCCAATGAATAAACAAGGTTCACCCCAGCGACAACCTAAAAATTATTATTAGAGTTTTCGGCGACTCGGAAAGAAAGAAAACCTGATTTTCAGTTTCAAATTTCGGACAGTCTTTTGTCTCATTGTTGTTCACTAATAGCTCCTCCGAAGCACGTCTCGCCTGGTTGTACATTCCACTTTGAATTCTAGAAAAAAACAGTTGAGAAAAAATAAGGAACTAATGAAATCTTACAATGCACTTGTCATAATTGCACCGGCAAAGTCCTCCACTACTCTTCCCTTGCTTTGTGCATCAGACATCAGACGAAGGCGGTGAAGACCCACAGCCACGTAATCGGCAGTGCTGTTGAATCTGGAAAATAAAGGTTAAACTTTTGTATGCCAGAAGGTGGATACAGTAAATACTTGTAATAGAAACCCACTCTAAACGTTTATTTTGAGCTCAATTATCTCGGTTCCTATGAGAGGTATCAAAAATTTTCGACTAATAAAACAATTATCATAATATCCCCAGTATTTTATCAGTTGACAACTTTTCCATGCCATTAATAGGAAAGATAAGTCGGCTCAAAAGTTAGGAGCACTTCTATTACAGGTTTTACGGAAGGTACGTGGTCAGATAACCCATACCTAAAATATTTTCCATCCATCAGATCCTCAATACAGAGCATAAACTTTGATAGGGACACCAGATATGCGTGCAATTCATAGTCTTCCTTCACACTTTTTTGTAGTGTTCGGCACGTTGGCATGTTAATACTGAAAATATTTCGAGTTATTCAACCTGATTCGAAAAATACTCACTCGGCAGCTGCATGAATTGTATCTTGCAGAGTTCGAACTTCATTTTTGCTATTGTCATTGTTCTCGTTATCATCTTTTTCTACAAATATATCAGTTTTTATTGAATGGTATTCTTGAAAATCTTACTGGAAGGATCACATACAGCTCTCATCAGAATCGGTCCTGCCATGAAAACTTCGTTAATTGTCAGCTCGATGTTTGCTATTCGATTGCACATATCATCAACATTCACTTGTGATTGTTGAATGCTTTCGGTGAACAGGGTATGCGCGGAAATTCTGGAAATAAGGGGAAGTTATTCACTACAAAAGTTCCAGGTCTCCTATTTTACCTGTCTCCAAAAATCCTGCATATTCTTCCTTGCAAAATTGGTCCGTATCTCATCGCTCCTGGATTCGAGGCGATAAGTTTCAAGGTATTCAACGCTGCATTTGCTGATTCCGTCAAATGCAGCATGCTGAGGTCGAAGAACTCTTTCAAAGAATCCACAGCACTTGGTGGGTCTTGAAGCTGGATTTGGACGATTGCTTCCATTAAATTCACTTCGGATACATCCCGATGACGTCGACGAATAATATGGCACCAATTCGTAATTTCAGAACACGGCATTGCTTTTGATGGACAGAACTGAATGAGTCGGAGCTGTTCACCAATCCACTGTCGGGCTCGAACGGAGCAGTCGATGTCAAATGGTAGTGTAACATTGATTCCATGTTGGATAGAAGAACTTAACTATTAAATTTTGTCCGTATTAGGCGTCTTCTAAACTCACATTTTTTTCTTATTAATCCATTCATGGAAGTTCCTAGTGAGAGTGAATATTCCTTCTTGTGAAGTTCTAGTGTACTGAATCATCACTCGTTTTATCCAAACATACATAAACGAGGTACTGCTCATGAATGTTAACATATCCATTTCTTTCGTTTCTCTTTTCAGAACATTTTCGTGTGTTGGTCGTTTCGCGGTATAGAATGAGTCTTCGAAAAGCATTTCTAGCTGTTCTTCTCCGTTTGCCAGTTTCTCGACACTGTAAAAACAATTTTTTTATTGGCAATGAGACGAAAAACTAAACCTGCAAGTGAAATGATAATAGACAGAACGATCCAGTTCATCATTCAGCATTCGGGCGATTATTCTAAAATCTTCGTATGAAACTTCGGCATCTCGGAGAATGAGAGAGTACAGTACTGAAAACGCTCTGAAATCCAGTTAGACCTTTCTATTCAAAAAAGAAATTAAATAAACTTTGTCTTCTCATATTTGTCGAATGGTTTCAAGCTTGGTACAGCTCCGATTCCAAAATGTGACTGAAAAAGTGTTCGAATCAAATAAAAAATGGCAATTTTCGTGGGAGTTATCGGTTCACCGGTTACATTCACCAGCGGATTTCCGAATATCGTGTCCAAGTTGATGCCGGCTCGCACTTTGTGAGCAGGCATTCTAAATGAATATGATTACGGTTATAATAAAACAATTGTATAATTGGATCACTGAGAAAATCGAAAGCATTTCTCACAACTGACAGAGACCCCGCAAATTCCGGAGAAAAACATTTCCGGGCATACTTGTAAAATCCCGGGCCG